CCGCCCTGCTGGTGTTATTGTGGTCAACAACTTTCTTGTACTGTTGGAGGAGTTTTTAATTTTCTCTTGGCACCGCACAAATGCACGCCGAATGCCCATCTGCTGCCTGCATGGTCCTCTTGCTCTAAACAGTAAGCAGGGCTTGTGTTTCATCAACAGACCAAGAGCTTGCCACTCTCTTCTCTTTTCTCTTTGCTTTTTTTTAGATGCAGATGAAACTGATGAAATATCTTCTATGTCTGACAATAGCAAACATTAAACATGTCGCTGAATCATCATTGAATGTTGACATTAAATAAATATGATAAAGCCCATCTGCCGTCACAGCAACCTGCTTGGAGGTGGTCGCGCCTGGGCCCAACTCCTGAGATGGTCCATCTCAGTGCAGCTTGGCCCAACTAGTCATGGAAAAGCAAATCAACGTGAAATGGTTTGACTCCGAGCAGCCAGAAGTGCCAGTGGAAGAGTTCTATAGTGCTCTGTGCTATTTCTGGGTAGATACTAAAATGTAGTCACCAAACATCAACCCAGGCATACTGTACAAGCATCGCGTTTCTACATGGTTGTTTGAATCCTGCCACAACGTGACACTGAAGCAGATTAATATGAGGCAAATCAGAGCAAAAATCTACCTTATAATTCATTTTACTTGAAGACATAATCTTATACATAATGAGATGTAACCCTAACCTTCTATTTTAACTGAAACATTCATAGCTAGCTAGCTGCTAACACAAGTACTGATATCTGTATGCCAGTTTCATTTGGTGGCAACCTTCTAGCATTCTCTACAGTCACTTCCCGAAGTCTTGAGGTCACTATGAGGTTGCCAGGCAACCAGCAATGACCCCAGGAAGTTACTGTCTCAATCCAAGTCTATAAGACTGAATTGCAATGTTTATTTACAATAATTTGCGGGTAGAAAACCCAGTGTTGTGCAAATGCTAACTTTTAGTCACCTAAAAAAAACTTTAAGATGGCACATGTCTCCACAATTAAATAAATTGACAGTTGTCTGCCCAGAAGTGATTGGTGTTAGCGAGACGTCTCGATGATTTGGTCTTGACAACATGAACATTCTGAGTGGGTCCCTTTTCCTGTTGAAGTGTTTCTTTTTGCAGTAGCTGACAAGGAAACTATAAAGGAAGAAAATGACATGACGTTAGTGACAGCGTTCTAGGAGCCAGACTTGGTGTCAGTTCTATTGAAGTCGATGGGGCAGGCACAACAAATGACACTATCACACATCATATCTGTGTTGTTTCACCTTTAACTAAAAAACCTTCCAGCAGATTGCAAAACACACATTATGTAATGTTAATGACGTTTTTTTAATCTAAATGTGTGTGTTTGTTTTCTTGTTACTGGTCTTCAAACAGGTCACAGATCTGTCTCAAGATGGCAAACATGATATCATGATACATAAACAAACAAGGCAGGTCCTACCTGTTATAACTGACCTGACTGTAATTATAACCACCTCAGTTTATTCTGGCTGGACTCAGTTAGGTTAGGTAAATATTGGCCTAACTAGAACTAGTCTAGACCTTAGTCTACAGCAGTTTGCTTCAGTAATTTACATTCATACTAATGTAAGTCATCTAACATTAATTAGCTAGCACACATATAAGTCATGACAATGGTTAAGCTTCAGAGGCAACATTTGCTACTCAGGGTAATTCAACAGAGATAGTGCTGGCTAACATTAGCTAAACAAAGTGCAAATGCTAACTTAGTTCATTGTAAACAACGTAACAAGTAGTAAGTGATTAAGGTCCGAATATATAATAATTTTGCGAGTAGCGCCACTTGCTGACAATAATATTAGTTAATATCATTTACAGTTTAAAGTTTGGTAGCCATTGATATGTATTATACATATATTCGCTAACAGGAGGTAGGTTAGCTACCTTGGACCCAACAGGGGCTGAGATGCAGCTGACGGACAGAGCCATAATCTGTTTAAAGACCAATTACAAGGAAAATTAACACACACATTTACATAAAAAATGTAAGTAAATATCACGTAATGTGATTTTTTAAATTTCATAGAATGATTTTTCAGCCAGAGGAGAAACAACAAACATATGACATGTTATAGTGTGATTTGCCATGCATGCCCTATTGACTCCAATAGAAGTGGCACCAAATAAAATGACCTTTTCTTCTTTTATAGTTTGATTGGTAGCTCACAGGAAGTAAACAGGGACCAAAGATGTTGCCCTAGCAACAGAATAGCAATGAAACAGTCTATAGTCCAGAACATATCATTAATTTCAGACAGAGACAGGCTAGCTGTTTCCTTGTTTCCAGTCTTTATGTTGAACTCAGTAAGGGTATTTAACAAACTACTGCTTTAAACATTTTAGCTATGTGTGTTTCCTTTGTATTGTGAAACAGCAGCTTCACAGTACCCTTATTGTTGTATTTTTTTATCAGCAGTATGAAATTTCCTGATATTTGAGACTTCTGGGTCGTTCAGACAGACATCCAGACAGACAGACATCCAGACAGACATCTGAGCCATCTCACCCATTTATCTCAGCCCAGCCCTGCATCCTGTATCATCACAGGTCTGCTGAATTGCACAAATTGGTGACGCAGGACTTTGTGCCCTATTTTCGCTTGCTTTCTTCCCATATTCGATTTTGCAACTTCTTTGCATGTGCTTGCCCGCTCATCCCTAAAAAAAGTGGGTTATTTTAAGCACCGGTCTGGATGTTTTAGCGGGGAGATGGCAGGGTTTGTTTCTCTGGGATAAATACAAACAGACACAGCTGGGACAACCAGGGCAAGTCATCTTTTGCCTCCTCAGGCATCTGTAAGACATAGCGTTACTGAAATGTGTTGTGTTGACAGAAGTATCGTCTCTCCACTGATGTGCACAGATTCTTTGATATTAAGTTATTTCATTTCTAAACAAAAGTATTTATCTTTACCTTTTTTTGTGTGCAGTGGGATAAAAGCCAAATAACATGTTCATACATTTTTTCAGGTTGTTGTCTGTGAGACAGTGGGACCTTTAGTTAAAGGGATTTTTTTTGCCATGAAAGTCAGTTTGGAAATTCAGTTTCAAGAGAACACGTACAACTGACAGAAAGTTAAAATGGAAAGCTTATTCAGCTGTAAAAAATGTGGCTTCCACTGGTCTGAAAGCAGACATCTTTTACACCATGCATTTGGGTCAAAAGAACAACAGAAGCATCTCTTTTTTTGTTGTTGTTTTTGTAGCTGTGTTCTTCGAAAAACCTTACAAGAGGCATTCACTCACTTAGCCTGTGTGTGCGTGGCTTTACGCGTGTGTGTGTGTATGTGTGTATATGTGTGTGTGTGTGTGTGTGTGTGTGTGTGCGGAAGCAAAACAGAAGCTCTTTTACGATCTGGCTAAATGGCAGGTTAAAGATTCCTTTCACTAATTTCCAACATCAGCAAAGACTTCTTTCAGCCTGTTCTCTCTTCAGAGGGGATAAAACACCCTGGAGAACAACTCCTAGACACTCGTGTAATTTTGCCAGACTTACACACACACACACACACACACACACACACACACATAAAACAACAACAACACACACACATAAACAGACGACAGATGTTCCACGGCAGCAACAGTGCAGATGCAGGCAGGGAATTGCCCTTTGAGGTCTTCATTGCTTCAGTATAAAGCTGCTTAAGGCTTTTAGAGCTGTAACGGGCAACGAGCAGCGATGGTGATTTACACACTGTATGTTTTCACAGGAATCAGAGAGGGAGAGAGGAAAGAAAAGGTGGCTTGTGAACGAGGGGAGGCGTTATTTCTCCCTGCGTGTTTCCTCATTTGAAGTTGTGCAAGAACTTGTTTTTTTTCTCAAGCACTGCCTCTTTCTGAACTTGCTTCTCTCTGTAGATCAGCGTGACAGGGAGAAAAGCAGGGGATTCATGTGTGGGAAACTGCAGCAGGAAGGAAAGTGCAGCTGGGAATTTCTGCCTGGAGCAAAGCAGACTGGAGGTCTGTGGCGAAAAAGACGAGAGAAAGAGAGGAGAAGGGGAAAGAGAAGGGAGGAGAGAGGTAGAAAAGATGGCAGAGGAGCAAAGGGGATGATGAAAGATTGAAGCAGGGATGACATGAAGCGTGAGATGGGAGGAGGAGAGAAGACTTGATGTGATGAAGGAGGAGCGAAAGTGCACTTTACATAATGAAGAGACTGGAAGATGACAGAGGGAAGGGAATCTTGTCCTCACACCTTCGCCGGATGTCAAGGCAAGTCACACGCTCACACACACTTAAGACACTTTTATACCTGTAAAGCTACACCTGCACACTCACTACCTTCCCAGAAAATTGGGGTGGAAGGCAGCCAGCTTATATACACACACATGAATGAAATGTGGACTTGGACCTGCAGTTGTACACACACACATTGCATCAGAGTGGACACGCCAGCTGGATGGTGTTTCATTCAGATCTGCTGTGACAAGAAGAAATACACTGTCTCCACCCCTCCCTACTCCCAAGTGCTTCTGCTTCAGAGCATGTGTGTGTTTTCTGCACCCTTATTGCACTCTCTCTCAGCCCACTAACCTGTAATTTGATGTTTGTGTACATACCTGCAGATACACAGCCTCAGCGCACACACTCCCTCTCCGCTCTCTCTCTTACACACACACACTCTCGCTCTCGTCCTCAGAGCAGCAGGTTCCCTGGAAGCAGCCAAACTGTCAGTGACTGTTGCAAACACATGCTTGCTCTCGGCTCGGCTCTTTCTTCAGTCGCTGCCAAGGGAGGAGGAGGAGGAGGAGGAGGAGAAGAAGAAGAAGTGAGGCTGGAAGGAACAGACTGAAACACACAGATAGGAAAGAGAAAGAGACAGCCTTGGACCAACCTCTGACTGCTTACCTCTCGCCTCTGCCTTGGCTGACTGTGTGGGAGACTGGAGGCAGCCTACAAGTGATGCCTCGCACTCTCTGGAGCAGCACATAGTCAGGGATTTCTTTCTACATTTTCCCCTCTCTCTGTTACAATGATGAGGAGAGACCGTCTCTTCCTGGCCGTGACCCTCACAGCCATCTTCTCTGCTGACCTCTACTTCATCCTCCTGCCAAAGCTGTGGAGCGTGGGGCGAAGATCAGATCACTTCTGCCCATGTGGTTCTGACAACCTCACCCTTCCCAGACACGGGGGTCTCGCCACCCCGCAGCTCTCCAACTGGACTTCTGCGCCACCCCTGGATGGTACCACATCTGAGCCCACTGATGGAGGCTCAAAGCTGGGGAGACTGTTCGCTCACCCTCTGTACAACATCCAGACTCCGGCAATGGGGCCGGAGGAGAGGCTGCTGCAAGCGGAGCAGCTGATGGAGTACTACAGAAAGAAGGTGTCACGCTGGGAAAGGTGAGTTTCAGGTGTTTTTAGATTTTAAAAATCACATCTAGACATTCCCAGAGCAAATGATTTTGTAACAGCTGACAATTATCTAAACATGGATTGTGTTGCTCAACTTTATTGTGAAAGAGGAGCATGCTCATTTTGGCTGTGAGAGGGCGTGCTGGGGCTTGACTGTGGTCACGGGGCAGGGTCACCGACACCACGGCCAAACCCTCCGCAGACGCACACAAACACACATCCACGCGCATAAACACACTTGTGCATTTGTTCATGATAACAGATGTACACCCACAGACAGACAGCCGGATGTGTAGACAATTCTGGGCGTCACAAAAGTCTAATGTTGAGTGTGACGGTGGCAGAAAAACCCTTGCAAACATGTCACTCTGAGAGCTCGCGTCTGGAACGCTCTCTTTAAGGTAAACACGGATTTAAAACTGCTAAAGCTCATCTTAATCTGTGGAAGCCGTTGCCGTCTTGGCTTGTGAGGCTGTCTGTCTCTCCCGACACAGTGCACTCCCTCCAGAGATACAGATTTTGGGCTCTCATAGTGGAAAATAAGAAGAAATATGAGCAAGGATCTCCTCTCTCTCTCTGTGCTGCCTTTTACAAATGTGCACACAAACAATGGATAGCCCAAAGGCTTGTTTAAGACTTGCTAAATCTTGCAACAGCATCTCAACACTGCAACAAACACACCTAGGAGAGCTTTATGATGGCCCGTATACACAATGAAAAACGGTTTTATTTGTATGTTGAAGAAGGAAACAGGTTTAAAACAAACTGACCCGTCCACCTGTTTGTGTGTGTTTGTGTGTGTTTGTTCTTATTGGCAAACACTGCAGGAAATGACTGTTAGAATGTTCTCTACTTCCTCCAAACTCTGTGGTCCGCACTTGTCCTTTGTCCTGATTACCCTGATCTGTCACTTCAGCCGACCGGGTGACTGATGGCTCATATTTATAGCCCCTCGCTCTATCATCTCTGCACTTCATGCAGCCTGTGCTGGAGTCTGTTTGGGTTGGGAGATGACCGTCCCATTCAGTGCGGTCGGCTCCTGGCAATGTGGTGCCGCTCTCACCACAGACTTATTTGTTTTGGTCTCAGATTATTGTTGCTCGGGATTTAAGTATAGCAGCGAGGAGAGGAGGCTGCGGAAATTCAGAGGGTTGTTACAACTGCTGTTAAAAACGACAGAGAGCCCATAAGACAAACTAATAAAACTCTATATGTGGATGCAAGATTGGGCTATGGGGGGAAAAACAAGCAAATAAAAGCAGTTATAAAACAGGGTGTGCTATTAATCGTATCTCCGTGTGGTACATCGTATCCTCTTTCATTTTCAAACACATTCTTGTGAGACCTGCTACTAAGAAAATCTGTTGAATGCACTTTGCCTTGGATTTCTGGCACCAAGCGTTGCTCCAGATCTGTGGGCTTTCCAAAATAAAATACAGCCTTTAGAAAATGTTGTAAGAAACTATTGGCAAGCAGTGGATGTTTTTTTAAGACACTTGGCAATCCAGGTTTTGCAAGAGCACAGCAAGAGCCCTGGTCTTATTCAGTCGGCTGCCTCATGTAACACGGTTTTCACAACCCCTCTGCAGCAAGGAAATGTTTGATAAAACCATGCTGGAAAGGCATATATTTACTCAAGTACTGTACTTAAGAACAATTTAAACATACTTTCCATTTTATGCTACTTTATGCCTCTACTCTATTACATTTCAGAGGTAAACATTGTACTTTTTTCCAGTATCTGAAATTGGCTCCACATTGACAAACTACACCATTTAAATAAAGTGCAACTTTAGACAACTTTTCATCTTTTCCCCTCTTGCATTTCTAAGTGATATTGTTGGCGCCGCTGTCACAAAGACAACCGGATCGCTTTCCGTTTTCCTCAAAGCCCAGCAACAAGGCTCTTTTTCTTTTGCTGGTTAGAGTTTCAGATTCAGATTCAGACAACTTTATAATCCCATTAGGGGCAATTTGTCTGAACAGCTTGCCTGACACACATACTATAACATACAGTAACAAGTAGACACATGAATAGATGAGCCAAGTTCAGTGGAATAAAGGAATTTATAAATTATACAAAAGTTAGTAGACTGATTTTCCACAGTTACTTTGGTTGTTCCACCAGGTGCCATTTCCACTAACTGCAAAGAACTTACAATGAGTGCGTTTACATGGACAGTTTAATTCCCTTTTCATTCGCAATGAAAGTTCATTCGTATTAAAAGTGATCTTGTAAACACCTAATTTGGAATGAAAATGGCCAATGCGATTGAAAATTCATTCCGATGTAAGGAGCTGGAATATTCCGTTTCTAATTCCGAATGAAAGAATTTCTCGCATTTGTATACACTCATTCCTCTTTTTAGTTCATTCCGGTCTTTCTGCATGTGCTTGTTTCCTTGCCCTTCTGGCGCGATGACATATATAACGCGCGCGACTCGCTGCACTAACCAGTTTCCACTCGCCACAGCACAGTCTTCTATCTCCCTTCTTCGACCTTCTACCTCCCTTCTCCTCCTCAACAGACGAAGCATTAGCAGAACAAGGTTGTTGTCGTACTTCTGCTTCACGAATATAAGCAAAAGAATTAAAAAAAATACAAGCCCGGTAAACGTAAACATGTAACATCCGCCCCACCCCCTATCCAATCAGAAACCTTCCCTGCCCCAAACCTTGGAAAAAAACCTGGAAAAACTTTAATTCCGAATGATTTCATTCAGATTTATTTAACTAGTGAGAAGCCATCATGTAACTGCACCCAATGATACTCTTTGGTAACTGGGGATAGCTGCCGATAGCTACCAAGGAAAACAAAAGCTGTTCCTGTTTTGGCTCTGCAGTAGTTGACGCACTTCCTTTCTGCCATAAATCGAGCCTTCATTTTTGCAGGAGTTGGTACCAGGTGGCAGATAGAATTTCATAGTAAAAGTAAGGCTTATAAGGAACCATTCTAAACACCAATAGTGTCATTATTCTATTGCCATTATATTGTGCCATAAACATTGACTGCATAATGATAAACTGAAGAAAAAAAGTGATCAATTTCCATTTTAAAAGGTGATAAAACACACTGTGAAAAGAGCCATTCTGCATAATGAGTACTTTTATTTTGATACTTTGGTGCATTTTGCTGGTACAGTAACACATTTGTAGTTTTACTAAGTAGCATTTTGAATTCAGGACTCTCACTTGTAATGGAATATTTTCAGACTGCAGTATTTCTACTTTTAACTTGTGGAAAAAAAACCCCATATAAAACATATCACTAACTCTTTTAATAAAGTTTTTATATAACTTGTGGTCATTTCCCATGGTTAATCTCTGTTCTTACTCCACAGACATATGAAACTATACAGCGAAGCGGCGGCTGTGTCCAACATCACTGTGACTGAGCATGAAGTGACCTTCGACCCCGATGCCAGCTGGATGAAGTTCCACCTGGGAATAAACCGCTATGCTTTGTACTCCCGAGATGACCCTGCCATCCCACAACTGCTCAAGGACATGCAAGGCATGACGGTCATCAGCGCAGGTGAGAGATGGATGGATGGATGGATCAGTATGTCAGTGTAAAATTAACTGTGATTGGCATGACTGATGTGACATGTAGCCACCATTTGGTTTCACTTCCTTTTTGTAAAAGTATAAAGTCAAAGTGGTTAGAGATGCAGACTTTCTGGCTGTGTCCATATTGTTGTGCTGATGAAGTGTTGACATAAAATTGCTGTATTTATTACCTTTAATGAGATCAATGTGTGCTAAATTATGAGCTAACAAACCTTTATCTCTCACAGATTACACTCAGGATGAGAAGGCCCTAAAAGGAGCATGTGATTGTTCCCAAGGTATGATCAATGAGGCTTTTTTTTTATCTGTTTGGGTTTCTTTCTCTTGCATGTGATGTTGTGTAGCTCTGTAGTTTTATGTACAGCGTGTAACGGCGTGAATGCTCAACTTCTGACTAGCCTCTTTGTTTCTCTCATTTTGTTTCTCTCTGTGCTCGGCGGTACTGTCAGAGACGAACACACTGCTGACTTTGTGATAGTGAAGGATTTTGTGTTGGTTTGGCATCAAAATCCAGATTCGTCTGTCTGTGTAAGACACTTGCTCTGGGGCAAACAAAAAAAAGCAGGCGTGCGTTTGTGTTCAAAGGCAGAACTCTTAATTAAATGTTTGATGTCTGCATACACTGAGGGAAGCCAGTGTTTCCAGGCATCAACCTACACACCAACCGCCACCTACGCTGTCATCTCATACTGTACCTCTGAGCAGCACGCAAGCCAAAGCTGCAAATGTATGGATGTATAATTGAAAAAGTTACTGACAAAGCTGCTTTTAATGGATGTTATTGTAAGAAAAAAAAGCAGATATGGTGGATGGAAGAGTGTGAAGCTAGCTGTTGGCTAAGTATAAGTAATAAAGCTTTTATATAACAGATACAAATGGATGGGTTAAATGGAAACTTTAGTGTTTTTGAACCTGGACCCCATTTTCCCATGTTTTTGTATCTAAGTGACGGATGGAAAAAACAGTTTTTGAACGGTGCCATGCCATTGTTCCAACGGCCCAAAATTCCAAAGCCCCATTATTTCAAAAAATGTCCCACTGGACCGAAAGCCCATTTCTCCAACAGCCCATTATCCCAAAAACAAACGTCCATTGCCCAAAAGTCAGTTAGTTTCAGTTACCTAGTGGTGTTTGAGCCATCAATCATGGGTGTTTTTATTGACCCTTGGTGGTGTTTTCCAGCCAGCCGTTTGAGCCAATGAATCCGTGTGTATTTCACGGACCAGACCCTGCTTTTCCAGTGACTTTCGTGCCACCAAAACATGATCTTTTCCAAAACATAATGAAGTGTTTTTTCTGCCAAGACATAACCAAACGTTAACAGCAGTGTTGTCAGCAAATGTGTCCATGGTCAGCAGAAATGTACGATGCAAGCATTTTGTGTTGTCTAACTGTAGGGAGTGTGTATTTTCAGAGATATGGAACTTCGGAGCAATGGCCATTTGTTTTTGGGATAACGGGCTGTCGGCGTAATGGGCTTTCAGTCCAATGAGGCATTTTTAAGACTAACAGGGCTTCGGAATTTCAAGCCGTCGGAACAATGGGCAGCCCCCCTTTTGAAAGTGGTCCAGTAATGAGAGAGCGCTGCAGCAGCAAAACAGGCTGCAATTTAACCACTCAAGGCATGTTCGCATTGTCAATTTACGTGAACTAAAAGTGCTTGTTTTTGCCAGTGACAGGCCGAAATTGTTTTTATAAGCGTCTGACAACATTACGGAAAGGACCCTACGGAGAAACATTTTTCTTTACCTTTCGCTGGTCTGTTTGTTACTGTGACCAAGTCTCGTTCAGAAGTCTCACAAGATGTGACTTGTTGCAGGAAGACAATGGTGGAGACATTAGTTAGAGCTGGAGAGTGTGTTGTAGTATATGATATAGAAATGGTAGCTTAGGGTTATCTTAAACGCCATAATAATCTGAGCATGTCGGGGGCAAAAACTAGTCCTTTTAGTGGTTACATAGCAGCTTGTTTCCCTGCTCTCTAAATACTGGACCAATTCTAAAAAATGTTGTCTCCATTAGTCACGTAGACACAAAAACATAGGAAAACAGGGTCCAGGATGAAAAACACCAGAATGTGGTATAGTTTTTCATGTCAAAATATGAACACTAAATCAAATTTTATTAGCAAAAAGAGCTCCAACTTTTCCGAACTTTCAGACTTACACATATTTTTTTATATTCTGCTTTCTGTTCTGTCTGTGCCTCACCAGCAGTGAAGTGGCTGACCACACAAACATCATTCACTGCCAAGAAGAAATGCAACAAAACAATCCGTCCCGTCAGTTTAAATTTAACCCCAAAAGACTTTCTCATTATTCCAGCATAACCGAAGAGCGACAGTGTTCATCGGCCTGAAAGGCTGCGTATGCCAGTTTTGGTCCCCTTTTTATTCATTTCCAGAAGTACTGATTGTAAACCTTGATTGATTGTTAACTATTAATACCCTGGGGTCTGACTGAGCGCAGCAGGAGGAAGGCGTGTGTGTGGTTAGTCTGGGCTACTGCTGTGACATAATATACAGCCAGACAGCAAGAGAGACAGGAACGAATGTTGCTGAGAGAGCAGAGCGCAGTCTGTGTGACCAACCCCCAATTACTTTATCACAGGGAACTGGCAGATCAAGAAAGTGTTCCAGTTTGATCTGGCCTCCAGGGCAATAAGATAAAAACCAAATACTGACTAAGTGTTTACCTTTGTCGAGCTAACAGTCTAATTTCTACATTATGTAAACGAAACTTTTCTTTGTCTTTCCGTCTCTCCGTTCTAGTTGTGAAGCCCAGCGGACATCACCTGAAACTGGCTCTGAAGATGCAAAACTTTGCTAAAGCCATGTTCAAACCAATGAGGTGAGGACTGAATCCACATTATAGAGTTCCTGGTCCATATCAAACACCATCAGTGGACTTCAGTGACCAATAGGTGGAGCATTCTGCATTCTGAAATCCATTTTAAACACTTAAACATTATATTACAGTATAATATCTCACATCATGTTAGCTCACGTCAGGCTAAATGATCTAGTATGTGTTAAAATAACAGTATTTGTGGTGTTGATTATATACTGCTGACTATTGCAGCTGACAGCTTAATCACTGTGTTCGTCTTAACTGTGTGTGCGTGTGTGTGTCAGACAGCAGAGGGACCAGGAGACGCCAGAGAACTTCTTCTACTTCGTTGACTTCCAGAGACACAACGCAGAGATTGCTGCCTTTCACCTGGACAGGTACAGCCCTCCTCTCCTCTCATAATGCTCATCATCACTTCATTGTTTTTCCTGTTTTACTGCAGTCTCTGACACACTCTGTGTATTTTAAGTGGTCTCTCAGTGAATTTATGCAGCAGTGGTAACTGCTTGGGGGTAATTTTATTTTTTGTTGCACATCTGTCATTTTATTGGCTCCAGTTATGGCTCTGGTGCATACTGAAGTGCAACAAATGTTTTTGTCAGGGCTCTTTATTATAAAAGCACAATACGTGATGCAAATGGGCAACTAAAAGCAGGAAGTAAAAAGGTAAGTAAAAATGAGTTATTAGTGGCTTCCAATGCTGTTAAATTACTGAACAGCAGTGTGACATGCCTATATTTTAAATTATGAGCAGTTGAGAAACACATATAATGCTCAATTATCATATATCAAAGTTCTGATGTCATACTAGTGGCATTGCTGTAGGAATGGCAATTTGTCCGTTGGTCCACCACCTTGATCCAGACTGAGACATCTCAACAAATACTGGATGGACTGACATTCATTGTCCTCAGAAGATGAATCCTAATGACTTTGATGATCCACTGACTTTTAGGCCAAGTCCACACAAACATGGGTAGTTTTTGTAAACGAGCTTATCCCTCCTTTGTTCTCAAGGAGATTCCCATCCACACTCACTCAAAATGAAAAGGAATGACACAACTGAAGGGCTGTCAAGAGCATGCCTAACCCACAGGTGGCTATATAACCATAACCCTAAAGCCAATGTTGGCCAATCAGATGCATGAAAAAATCTATGACTAGAAGGCTATTATGTGGCAATGACCTCCATAGTGCATTCTGACGCCTCTCTTCCTCAATATAGTTGAAGAGTAACTGTACATTTACATATACACATGTTAAAAGTCCTGTTAGCAAGGTTAGAACCAGCACTACTTTTAACCATGTCCACCTTTGCACGAAATGTCACCTCCTTTGTGATGCCTCACAAAGGAGATAACGCTGCACACTCTGACATTTCAAGTCAAAAAGTTTTACCTGTCTTCACATCAGCACTGAAAATAGAGTTCCTGACATTCTTCACTCTGGAGAGGAGTTTTAAAAAAGGTTTGTTTTGAGTGACCTAAGACACAAGTTGTGTGTCGACAAAAGGTCAGCATTCTAACAAGCTGAACTAAGATGGCCAACATGATAAACGTGACACCTGCTTTGCCTCAGCATTGTCATCGGGAGCATGTTAGCATGTCTTGTCAACATGTCCATGTGGTGTTTTTTTATTTTCTACATGACATTTCATGAGTGAAAAAAGCAGTCAACACCACGGCTGAGCATTTTCACCTTGGAACTGCAGTGTACCTACAGAATGACAGTTTCAAAAACACGGATTCTAACTTCCAGGGTTTGTTACATCACAATCCTTAGGAACCAATCCCATAAAACTATGGCAAAAAAAAGTGTAGCAATGTATTGGTATTTTTAAAGTAAAGTTTCAGTTTCATTTCATGTCAGAGATGTGTCACGGTATCTACGTCCATTATTTCATCCAGTCTATGGTGCATACTAAATATGGCAATTGTGTAGAGTTACATATAAGCTATTTTAAAGCATGAAGGGATTTTCCAAACATGCAATTCTGATTAACAGAGATACGTTCTCAGGGGTTTAATCACTGCCAGGAGAGGAACTCTGAATAAGCAGAGAAAACATTCCTATCGTAACATACCACTGATAAACAGAAATAAAATGCAATCATTTCAAAAAATCCTAGAAATCCTAACTGGTATCCAACAAATACATATAAATGAAAACTACGTCTCCTGTTGCCAACAAATAAACCACCAAAGATTGCAACATGTTTTCCCCACCCAGGATTTCCAAACTAGCTGATCAGTAGAAACCACAGGCTATGGGCAAACACCAGAACACACACACACATCCCTGTGTAATTGTACATCAGCTGAGGTGAAGTGATTCACTCTGAAACATAGTCATCTGAGTGAGACAGTATCATTAAGAAGCCACACACAATGATAAGTCACCGCTTCACCACACCAGACAGAAAACAACAGAAGCGCCACGTCAACAACTCAACAGTCTCTATAATTATTATTACTCTGTTTATCTGCTCATATTATAAAGATATATTAGTCCTTAAAATGTAGGAATCAGTAACAGTTTCTGTCAGTAAACACAAACAGACGGATCATTTGTCTGCTCTCTCCTATTTTTAATTTAAGGCGGTGTGTTTTTAATCTGTGGCAGTGTGTTGTTTCTCTCTGTTGTGTCTGCGGTGGCTGCCAAATCCTTATCATCATCGCGAGCAATCAGCAGTCGGGGAATGCCGACGAGCTGAGAAACAGCCATTCAGCTTCACACACACACACTGATAGTTGTTTGAGTACTGTTTGTGAGACATGACTGAAATAGGGCCCTTGGGGAGGTATAAGCTCTTGATGATGTGTATGAACACAGCCAGCCAAATTATACAGCGTGGAGACTGTCAGTGGGAAACATTCATTGATAAGAATCAGTGAAAATAAACCGCGGGTTCCTGTGAAATGAGGTGAGGAGACAGAGATAACGATACCATCATCCTGACAAGGTTCACATTACACTTACATTAAATTTATGTAAGCATGAACTGTGTGAACTTTGAAGTATTCTTCACCCAAGAAGCAGTTCCTACTGGAGTTTTCCTCTGAATCTTATCAACTTATTTTTCAGGATCCTGGACTTCCGGAGAGTCCCTCCGGTGGCTGGCAGGCTGGTGAATGTCACAGGAGAAGTCCTCCAAGTCACCCACAATGAAGACCTACGGGCTGTCTTCTTCACCTCACCAGGTAAAGAACCAGCTGTGTTTCAAGCAAGTAGGAGAGCTATGGTGGCCAATGCAAAAACGACAGTGGCCCTGTCTAGAGCCCATGTTTGGTTTCCCAGCTCTGGACTACTGTAGAACCAAAACATAGACTGTGTATAAAGATGGACAACGTATCTCCACTTGCCCCCATTGTACAAAAATGAAGCCAAACTATCAGATAAGGCTGCTAAAATCTTAGGCTGGTAACTTCATTTGGAGCCAGGGTCCATCTCTCAAGTTCCTCCCCATACACCTGTCCAACCAATAGCAAGCAGCAACATCAAATAACTAATTAAAACCAAACTTATCAGAAAAACTAACACTTGAACATACAGTAGCATGATAAGAACTACTTTATTTTAAGGGTACTTTGATCTTTTAGTTTGGCCCATGTCTCATCCACTCACATGGAGTGGGTCGGGTGTATGTCCTGTACGGCAGCCAGCCACCAGGGAGCAATCAAGATGCTTTGGCTTTGACTTTTGGGGAGCTGTTGTAACGTCCATCTTTTTTATACAGTCTATGCCCCTAACCCACACCACCACATAAATCATACCTCTGAATGTGATCCATTGGAGCTTTTGCTAAATGAGTGCGCCTAACTTATAAACGACAGAACAGCTTATATGACCGTAAATTGGCGTAGTGTTAAACATATGGGTAATGTTAGGAAACAGACGGAGTTACACCAGAATTATGGGGTTAGGTTTAGGCAACAAAACTCTTTTGTTAGGTTTAGAATAAGCATCATGGTTTGGCTTAAAACTGATAATAAGGTATGAAAGTCCAGTGTTTGTTTGACCCCCCCCCCGTTTTCCTTTGCTCCCATAATGATAAAATATGGGTTGTAATTTCTGTGTGTAAAAATGCCCTTTGTGGTTGTATTTTGGAAGAGGACAGTCTCATAGAACAACATGGTGAACTCTATGGTAGATGTAGATATGCAAATATATAGAAACTGCTCACTCTAAGGTAACGACAATGTTTCTTAGTTTCTGGTGAATGTACTCTAATGAAAACAGTTATGAATATAATATCATTTCTGCCAATGTATCCCCCTAAATTGTACGTACTTTACCTTTAAAGGAATTTCTTAATATTTAGGAATACACTTCACTTTTTTTGCCAAGACTTGGCTGAGGAGATTGATACCACTCTCCTCTGTGAGAATGATATCAATCTTCCCATCTAACTCTCAGCAAGAGCACAAATAGAAAGGGGAACTCCCTCTCCTTCTGTTGGACCACCATGGGACCTTATTTTGGGAGAAAAATTGCACTGTTAACGGTTGTGCCATGAATTGCACATATGATTGTCAGTTTAAAAGCTAATTTTGCAAGTCAAGGAAGTCGCAGTTTCTTGTACAACTTTTGAAATATAAGACCGTGAAAATACATAATTAGAGAGACTACACCCCCCATAAGTCGCGTGAGTGATGTCAAGACTTTCCTAGATGTACTCACATGAGCAATGTGTCGTAATCATTCTTTTGCTTCCCGGCTGACAAAAAGACAGGAGTCGCTGGATAAAACTCATCAGATAAGACAATGTTACATCTGAGCCAAGGTAACGACCATGTTGGAATTGGTGACGTACATTGTGCAGAATGAGAGATATAGTTCACTGAGTGGTTTCACACAAAACTCAGTGGTAATACAACAAACTGTGACTTTGTTGACTTGCAAAATTATCATTTAAATGGACAAATATCATATGTGTAATTCACAGCACACTTTCTCATTTCATTTTAAATGGATGAAATAGTATAATGACCATGTTCAGCAGCAATGTGACCAGTTTATTCTATATGTAATTTTAATAACACTTTAGTGTCTGCAGTATGTACATATAACTTTGCAAACAAGACAAATCAGTGTAAAACTAAGCCTGTGAGTTATTTTGGTTCAGTTTGATGTTGCTCTTGTTAATGGCACAGCACACAGTTGGCGGGAAAGGCAGAGCTGATCAAACAGCATGTAATTGTACGTGAACACGAAACTCATTTTGCATTCCGCCATTTCGCTCTGCTTCCCAACAGCAAACAACACATGTTTCTTTGCCAAGTGCCTCTACGTGTGTAAGACGGAGTACGCGGTGTGCGGGGGCCCCGACCTGCTGGAGGGCTCACTGTCTGCCTACCTGCCTGGCCTCAGCATCGCTCCCCGCATCTCCATCCCCAACCCCTGGATACGCTCCTACACCTTCACTGGACGAGAAGAGTAAGACCCCAATCTCTGTGCACTCAAGAGGATTAACATTTTATTTCATAGGAAAATACTTGCATTTGACCTCCTATAATATAAATGCATGGGACAAAAATATAAAAGCAATACTTTTGTTAATGTTAAAATACATTAAAATAAGAGGTCTAAGACTTTTTATATGCGTACAAAAGACTTATTTCTCTTAGATTGTTCACAAATATGTGTAAATCTGTGTTATCTATCCACCTGATAGCTGTGGCATGACGATGCTGATTAAACAGCATCATTACTACACAGGTGTGCCTTGAGATGGTCACAGTAAAGGGCCACTCAGAAGTGTGCAGCTTTATCACACAACACAAAGCCTTGAGAGAGAGTACCATTGGCATGCTGACTGTAGGAATGTCCACCGTTGCCATTAGCCGTCAATTAAATGGTCATTTTACTACCATAGGCCCTTTCCATGAATTTGGCAGTACATCCAACCAGCCTCACATTCACAGGCCACATGGAGATGATTTCTCATCAGATCAGTTGGATGTACTGCCAAATTCTTGATGGGTACATCCAACTGGTCTAGTGAGCCAGCCTAGGACCTCCACATCCAGCTGCTTTACCTGCACAATCATGTGAGAGTAGTCACTAAGATGGGCCTCCCTGAGACAATTTCTGACAATTTGGGAAAAAAGTCTGCGATTGTGCAAACCAGTCATAGCATCAGCTGTTAGAGTGGCAGGTCTCAGACGATCTTGCAGATGAAAACACTGGATGCGGAGGTCCTGAGCTGATGTGATTACACGTGACCTGTGGTGGTGAGGCTGGTTGGTTGAACTGCCAAATTCATGCAAATGCCATTGGTATGCTGATTGCAGGAATATTCGTCATTGCTGATGCCCGTTAACAGAATAGTAATTTTACTGCTGTGAATTTGTCAGTACATCCAATCGGCCATCCCCCTTGACATGTAGATTATTTCTCATTCAACTAGTTGGATGTACTGCGAAATTCTTAGCAGTCCATCCAAATTCTTGGCAGTACATCCAGCTTTCCATCTTGTAAGTAAGTGCACTGGATGTGAAGGTCCTGAGCTGTTGTGGTTACATGTGGCCGGCTGTTGTGAGGCTGGTTGGTTGTTCCGCCAAATTCATGGAAGCAACACTGGAGATAGCTTATAGTAGTGAAATGATTCAGTTCAGGGGCAACAGCTTTGGTGGACATTCCTACAGTCAGCATAACAATGGTACACCTCCTCAAACCTTGGGACATCTGTGGCACTGTGTTGTGTGATCAAACCGAACATTTCATAGTGGCCTTTACTGTGACCATCCCAAGACACACCTGTGTTGTAATGGTGCTGAATAACCCCTTTGTGTGCATAGAAAAAAGTCTTAGATCTTTCATTTCAACTCATAAAAAATAAAAACAAAAACAAAACTGTTGCTTTCGTATTTTGTTCAGTGTATATGTGGCAAGGGTGTTGTTGAAAATATGTTCACCAAATGGTTTGGTTAAAGGTTAAACATGGTGGAAATTTACAGTCTTTCACTGATGCTGACTATGATCCAGCTGCGGTTGAGTCAGTTGGTGGCCTCCAGTCAGATTGTAAATTTTAGTATTTTCAAAATACAATAAAAGACCAGATTGCCCATAAATTCTGTTGTTGCTGAATCAAATCAGATGTTTATCTCTTTGGTCAAAGGATTTTCCATTTAAGGGTAAAAGAGATGAAAGAGTGCTTTGTTTAATTTGACCCTTTCTTTCTTTACTACACCATTCACTAGTCATCCAGCCGCCTCTTCCTGTTTTGTTCCATAAATCTACAGAGTGGGATTCATCATTATATCATTATAATAATGCCTGAAAATCTAAGTTAACGGAAGGGTAGCTTTAAAACATTGTTTTCTCACATTGTTTCAAACATGTGGTCAAAATGTAGTAAACAGGTCCTGGATCAGAACTTTTGAATGATGTTATTTATGTCTGTTTTTTAAAGGTGGGAAGTGAATCCTTTCTACTGTGACACCGTAAAGCAGCTGTATCCCTATAACTCAGGCAACCGGCTCCTCAACATCATAGACATGTCCATCTTTGACTTCCTCATAAGTATGTCACACCACTTCATCATCTGCTATTCATACAAGCACTACAGCTTTTACTGTCTTTCTTTCTATAAAGTGTTTGTCTCTGTGTTACAGGCAACATGGACAGACACCACTACGAGATTTTTACTAAATTTGGAGACGAAGGATTTCTTCTCCACTTGGACAATGCCAGAGGGTGAGACACAAATAACACAGAGCATTTAATTACAGTGAAATTAGGCCTTGTGGTTTCATTCCCTTATTGCATCTTGTGCTCAGGTTTGGGAGGCACTCTCAAGATGAGATGTCCATCCTGGCTCCACTAACTCAGTGCTGCATGTAAGTGTCATATTATAAAGTGCTTGTTTGTTTCTTTGGACATTTGAAGGGTTTTAAGGTTCTGTATGTGACATTCTGGTTATTAATATAGCAACAAACAACTATTTCCCATGTGAAGATATAGTGAAGTAAAGGCGTCCTGAGCAGAGAATGAAGTCATGCTCCCATCATGTGTTGTAATCTGAGCTTGTCTGTTTTTTGTTGTGGTGTTGTCTGGCCATGCGTGTGTTGATGAACGTGAGTCCCTGTGTGTGTTGTACTGGCTAGCTAATTGCTGCAGTTCTGCACTGTGTTAATATGGTAGTTCCCGCTGATAACTGTTGCAGAAGCAGAATGTCCACTTTGGGTAACCCTACATCGCTTGTTGTTAGCACTGTAGGCGCTGTTAGCACAGTTAGCTGCTAGCACCCAGCTCAGCCCATAGATATCAAACCCAAAGATGGTGCCTATTCATTTCAGTGGAGTTGCTCACCTGGTGCATCGGCCAAAAAAAATTCTAGCTTCCCCGTTGAATATGCGCAGTAGTGTATCTCCCGAGAGTTCCCACTCAGCTCGCAGACTCTACATTGTGATGATGTCACTGATTTTTTAATCACTTTTCTCGGCTAGATTCAAGTTTTATGAATTAAAAAACCCTCCATGGATCAAAAATTCATAATAGAAAGAGTCGTACCTGACCTTTTTTGCAGTTCAAGGTGTTCTAGGCTGCAGGAAAAATTTTTTGCTGCAATACCACGAGTGGCCACTGGGAAAAATTGGCAGCAAGGCTGAGTAGCATTCCTGGGGTCCTGGCTCGGCCACTTCCATTTTTTTTCCCTAAAATTATTTTTGGGGCTTTTTTTTGCCTTTATTGGATAGAGCAGCTGAAGATAGGAGAGGGGGAACAGAGAGAAGGGACGACATGCAGCAATGAGCCACAGATTGAAATGAACCGCAGACAATGCTAAGGACTCCCTCAGCCACCTCCATGTTGAGAGCTGTTTGCAGGCAACCTCAGCTCAGACCCTGAATGTTGCATACAGCTGTGTATATACACTTAAAATGCAACCTGAAATTTATAAACAAAAAGAGACCTAGTGTCACTTTTAAAGAAGCAAACAAGTTTAGGCAGGAAAATTAATTTCTCATCCTCCTTCTCTAGGATAAAGCGCTCCACACTGCTGCGGCTCCAGCTGCTCGCCCGACCAGAGTTCAGACTCAGCGACGTGATGAGGGAGTCCTTGAAGGGTGACCCTTTACAGCCGATCCTAACGGAGCCCCACCTCTTAGCCCTGGACCGCAGGTTACAGAAGGTCCTAAAAACGGTCCAGCGTTGCGTCCGGAGGCTGGGCGAGGACGAGGTGATCACCAAGGACTTTATCAAATCCACAGCGAAACCTCAGACCGCCACAGAGACGGAAAAGGTCAGGTAACCCAGGATGTCGTTGCTGCTCTCCGTTGCTGCTCTTTGCACCATAGATGACTTCACAATGAAGCGCGGTTGACTCAGATGGTTTTTTCAGGAACAAGCCATAAATGGAAGATGCTGTGAAATCTTGAGAGCTTGTCAGAGAGGAAGGAATCTTACTGTGGAGGTTCAGGACGTGAATCACTGCAGGCCTTAAATTCCTATCACAGAGGGATCCTTTTTATTTGGTTTTGTTCCTTTCATGGTCATAAATTCCCTTTTATGACAACTTTTCATCCGTCAATTAGATTTGGAATTGATACTCTTAAGTTAAACATTTTCAGAGAAATTTTAAACATCAAAAAGCAGTAAGACTTCTTTGATACATGAAGCTACATCGTCAGACACATCAAAATCAGCAATACAGTAAATATTCATAGGAGAAAGCTGTGATGCACTGGATCAGTCGTTTACCAAATTAATGCTCGTGAATTTTGTGATGTGATGTTATAATTATAAAATAAAACTATTTTGAAGAGAAACTACCACCTGCAAGTAATAGTAGTGTCAGTGTGTTTTTGGATGCATGTGTGTGAGAAAAGTACCACCTCTTAAAAAAGCCATGTAGTTTCCTCCACCCCGTTTTCCAGACTTGTAAATCCCTCAGTGTTTAAACAGCTTCACCACAGAGCTGTCAACTAAAGCGGGCTGAGACAGAGGAACGACAAACCTAAAGCAACTGATGTGTGTTATATCATAATAACTCCAACGTTTTCCTTTTATTATTCTGTGACTGTGTTTTCCTGTGAACAAGCTGGAGATTTGGCCTTTGTTATTTTCTTTGTTCCTATCTGATCCTAACTTGAAACAGTCCAGGTCTCTGTCTGATGTAAAGTAAGATGGATAACCACAACTATTTTAAAGAGACTTCAGAGCTGGGAGAATGATGCCAAATAAAGTCAGACATCAGCCTGACAACACAAGCAGGGAGGCTGATAAGAGGCAAGATCCCACAATGTGCACTACACTGCTGGCGAATACCTTCATACCACGGTTTATCTTCACTGAAACCCAGCAGCAGGAATAAACTTTTAAAAAATGCCTGTCAAAAACGAAGAATGGCAGATTAGGAAATGAAGGAACACGCTGAAATTTTCCAAATAACTAAATAGCAACAATTTTAAAGCGGCACATGTTGGTGTGCTCTCCCAGAGCCAAGTACAATTTTTAATAATTAAGTTTAAAACTTTTGCTCATTATCTGAAAATATCACAGCACGGAAAAATGACCTAAGATGTCTACAGTCGTAAAAATCCTCTTAGAGGAAAAACTGAATGATTATTAACCAGAAAAGGCATGTTTAAAAATAATGAGACTTTACAGAGGAGGGATGAGGGAAAGGTAAACATCTATAATGTGGGTGTAGATTAAAATATTTTACACTTTTTATAGAGGTTGCAGTACAGGAATAAATACTCATTATCATAAGGGTTCTCTGCACTCAGGGCAGTGACCTGTCTCCCCCTGGTGGACAGATATCATGTTACAGCTGTTTTCAGAGCCTGTTACACACTCTGTGTCCAGTTTTAGTGAGATTGTCTTGAAACTAATTTCACATCATTTAAAGTTACAGTAACAGGAGATAATTACATAACTGGGGGTCCATTAGAAGCATCCTAAATGGGGCTGCACAAAATAAGGAACGAATATTAAAGTGTCCTCAGTTCTGCATTTCCACTGCTTTCAGTGTAATTCTTATGTACAAAAAAGGCATGTTAAATAAAAAAATTAAAATAAATTATTTACAATATTTTATAGAAAAAATTGAGCACAAAAGGCACCAATAAACAATGATAGATACCTTTTCTTTTTTTCTTTCTTTTTTCTTCTTATTTTATTAGGATCCCCATTAGCACCAGCAACAGCATATTTTAAAATGCAGTTTTCTGCTGACACTCTTTTTGAACTAACTCAAACTAGAATTATCGCCTTGAATGCCTCAACCAACCAGTCAAGTTGCAGTTTACATCCGTGTCTGTCCAGACTCATAATATTGTGTAGTGAAGACTTTATTTAAAAAGGTATTAAGTGTATTTTCTTTTATAAAAAATAGATGCTTCACACGCGTCTTCCCCCCAGCAGCACAGAAGAGCTATACAACCACCACAGTTTCACAGTGGGCACCTAAGATTACAGTCTCAGATTCAGTATCCAACCAAATGTCTCCCCTTCTGTTCCTGAGTTATGGCGTTAAATAACGGCCAAAAAGTGCTTTTGCAGAAAATTATGATGCCACAGTGAAGCTGACCTTTGTCACTTAATAATGTATCAAACATTTGTGTGAAACTTTGTCATAATTAGCAAATTAATTCTTGAGTTATGGCCAAAATCCTGTTTTGTCAGCTCACAGTGACCTTTGACCACCAAATTGTAATCACTTCATGGTTGAGTCCAAGTGGACGTTTGTGCCAAAATTGAATGTTCATTATTAGGTACACCTGTTCAACTATGAATAGCTAATCAGCCAATCATGTGTCAGCAACTCAGTGCATTTAGGCATGTAGACATGGTCAAGACGACCTGCTGAAGTTCAAACTGAGCATCAGAATGGCTAGAAAGGTGATTTAGGTGACTTTGAACGTGGCATGGTTGTTCATCTACTGTGATTTTCACCCACAACCATCTCTAGGGTTTACAGACGATGGTCCGATACAGGGAAAATATCGAAAAACAGTTCAGGCTGGTGGTGATGGTGTAATGGTGTGGGGATATTTTCTTGGCACACTTTGGGCCCCTTAGTACCAACTGAGCATGGTTTAAACACCACAGCATACCTGAGTATTGCTGCTGACCGTGTCCATCCCTTTATGAACACAGTGTACCCATCTTCTGATGGCTACTTCCTGCAGGATAACGCAACATGTCACAAAGCTCAAATCAAACTGGCTTCTTGAACGTGACAGTGAGTTTACTGTACTCCAGTGGCCTCCACAGTCACCAGATCTCAATCCAATAGAGCACCTTTGTGATGTGGTGTGGCTTTATATTGTGTAGCCCTGATCCTGAACCAGAACCACCATTAAAGGTACAGTAACACAGTCAAAGGTGTAACATAAAGGAATACTCCTGAGACAAAGATGAATCATTTTTACTTTTTTATTGCTTAAACTGCCATCTGGAACAATCTATACCAAAAGGATAAACATCTTTGCACATACAGGAGGTCAAACTGAATACAGGGTAGAATAGAAAAAGAATGGTCCTCTGATCGCCTGCAGCTCTCTGCGCTGCAGGCCTAACAAACTCACTGAAGGTCGGGCTAGCAGGAGTGACTGACTGACTACTGTAAGCCCAGGTTAGATAAGCTAAGGCAAACTGGGACGATTGCAGTGTGGCTAAAAACATTTTGGACTAAAACCGATGATGCTGCTATTTACACGAAAACAATATTTCGATAAAAGGTGAGTCGTACCCACGCCCCCTAATGGGAGTCACCTCCTGTGGATCAGGATAAGGATCAGATGAGGATGATCGATGTAACTGTAAAGAAAAATACACATCACTCATGTCCATTAACGAATACTCTCCTCACTAACCTGACTACCCTGCAATCGGCACCAAAATCAAATCTTTTTGGACGTACAAACAAACATCTCGATTCTAAGCGAGTGCTCTGAATGAGACAAAAGTACGGAAGCATGTAAGGGACAAGTATTTCAGCTTTATCAGCCACTGATTACTAAGTGTTGAAATTTAAACACAGATAACTTCATAGCATTGACAAATTTTACTTTGAAAGCCGTATATAGGAATTTATTTTTTCTGAATTCATCTCTTTAAAACTGGAATACCAAATTTTTTGTTTGCAATTTTAAAGTTGAATTTGAATATTTATCTCCATGTTCAAAATTTTAGATCAGAAAATTTAAGTTTCAGAATAAAAAAACAAAACAAAACAAAACAAAAATTTCATTAAAAAAATTCAATTCAAGTCAAAATATCTAATTTTTAAAAAATCTGGAACATGTTTTTTTTTGGGATCCAAGTTAGTGAACACTGAAAAAAATAAATTTTCAAATGTAGCTTTTGAAATTGCAAATCAAGAAAATTCATATTTTAATTCCAAAGAGGTGAATTCAGAACAAATAAATTCATATAAATGGCTATAAAGTAAAATATTTCAATACTATGAATTCAGTAATATTTAAATTTCATTATTAATTATTGAGTGGTTGTTAAAATACTTTTGACACTTATTTGCTTCCGTACAAACAGAAACACATGACAGGTTCTATGTCATTTCTGGTAACAGACAAGTGAGGCAGGAATGAAGAGTTAAGTCTATAATTCAGATAATTCAGAAGTCAACATTTTGTGATTTGGTAAAGATCTTTAAAAAACAAAAACAAAAAAGAAAAAAGACTTGAACATCCTATGCCATCTAAATAGTCATGAAGCAGTTAAGCTAGGGAGTAACAAACCAAATATTTGACAAAGTTCCTGCTTCTGCACGCAGCTGCAGGGCAAGATTTTTTAAATTTTTTTAATACACGCTTCCATTCATACCGGATCACTGGATGCCTAAAACATCATGCCAAGTAAGCATAGAGAACAGATCACAAGCTACTCTGATGAAAAGACAGCCACCTTTTTAATAGGCAATAAGCAATGACACTAGTTTTAAATAAATATCCGCTCACTCTGCCCATCGGCTCGCCTGTGATGCTTCAATACATAAATACTTCAGTTGTCCTGAAATCCACAAACCATCTCATTTTTTTTTCTTTTCAAGACTTCACTTCAATAAACCTGGAATTACCCATTTGATCTATTTTTAAAAACCCATGACGTTTTACACAATACGATTACATACTGTTTTTTTTTGTTTTTTTGTCGGTTGACAAGAAGAAGCATTTATTTACTTTGTGGCACTGGACACCTAAAATAGAATTTATGGAAAAATAAGTGTTTACAAAAGACAGTTAAACATAGTTTTTTTTAAGATCACCATCACTCCAAACCATAAGTTTATCATTTAGTCAATGATAATAATATAATAACTATGATCGTTTTAACTATACTATGATAACATTTTTGATTACAAACCATAGCAGAAGAGTGACCAAGTTATTTGGTATATACTAAAAAAATTGAATACTGAAATACACTTAATACTCTTGTTTTTTTTCCTTTCTTTTTTTATTTATTTTTTTCCTCAGAGTAGTCAAGGCAGTTCTTGTATGGTCGTTCTACCGATTAAGAGGACAGTAAGGGTAATAACTACTTCCTGTTTGGAGCTCCAAATAGTCAGGGAACAGAACGCGCGCTGCATTTCCACGGCTATGCATCTTTGCGTTGTGACGATAATCGACATTTGGCACTAGCCTGGTAGCTGCACAATAACATTAAAAACCTTAAGTTGTTCAAGCTCTCTCGAACTAAGCAAAACAGACTCATCATTGTCTCATCGTGCCGATCGAAGGTAACCAGAAACAACAAACGGAGCATGACAATCGTGTAGCTGGAACCTAAAAACGTCCGATAAAATTTGATGCGATCATATTCTTCCTTTAGCTCTACGCTGTATATCTAATCAGGCTAAGGGATGTCCAAAAGGAAACTCTTTAACGGGGAAGAATGAGTCCTCTCTTCATGTCAATCCACAACATAAATCTGTAACAAATTCCCCAAAAGCGCCATGTAAAGTTTGATTGTCCTGTCTCATCAGTCTGAGACCCTAACATCTTTCAGATCTCCTAGCAATCCTGCTTTGTGTTTAAAAAGAAAGCCTAACCAGCAAATACATATATAACATAGGTAACATGTGATGTAACTGTGCCTACAAGGTAGCGTACAGCAGCTGGTACAAGCGCTGGTGAATGGCTGAAAGTCACCTCAGTGTGACGGGTGGTAACAACAAAATGATCTGAGTGTGTAAAACAGAAAAAAAGGGGGGAGGAAAGCAAAACAGAAAGAAGAAGAAGAAAGTGATGAAAAAGCAAATTGCATTGGTGGACCCTGGGTCTAAAAGGAGAAAAGGAGGGAAAGGGTGGAGGGAAAGGGTGAGGGTGGGGAGAGACGCTCCCTTCAGACAGACAGCGAGACGAAGCTGTTGTACTGTTGGATGTTACGTTTGAGAATGTCTGAACAGGGACCCAGGACGCGCTCGAAGCGGGGCCGGTCGAGCTTGACGCACTTTAGGGGGCCGCGGGCGACCACGGTGGCAGCACGGGGACGGTTCATCAGCAGAGCAATCTCACCTGGAGAACACACAAACACACACAGTTTAAAATCTCAAAAAACATAAACCCTTTACCCATTTGAAACATGGCATGACAACACTTTTCTTGTGCTGCTTTCAGACATCGTTTGCAAATATTTAATAGCAAAGAAAAAGAATGGCATCTTTGTCGCATGTGTGGTGCCTCTAGTTCATTATTTCCACCAGGTGCAAGCCTGATGGGGATCATGCATTTGGTTGTGTGTGCATTCACGTGTGCATGAGTGAGTAAATGCATGTCTGTTTCCAGTTAATCTGGCAAACTACTGGACCAATCAGTCTAATATTTTTATGACTGTCTGCTCAAGGACCTCTCGTGGTTGCGATGATTCACGATTGATTAAAAAAAACTGTTTTATTCAGTGTTTTTTCCCCCACTTTTTATCTTATTTTATCTTATCCACTTATCTGTTTACTCCTCATTCCTTTTAACCAGCCACTAGAGGCCACAGTTCCTCAACAAAATCACATAACAAAATCATAGAGTGAAAGGCCACATTTTGGCCTTGGTTAAGAAACTGACATCCATTAAAAAGTTTGGTCTCACTTTGAACTGGACCATCTGCAGATTAATTCCATACCTGATATGTTATGATCCACTTAAGTTGGGGGAAAAAACCCCACTGTATTGTTATCTTCGCTGCCATCTTGAAAGTAAGAGAGCCAGGAAGGACAACTCCACTGCATGCACTTGTACTGCATGTATTGTCTATAGTGGCTGTGATTAGTTCCGATGGCTGCCTGGCAGAGATCTGTCTCTCTACTGAGCACACTTTTCTATTGTTTCCTTTTTTTTTGTTTTTACTTAAAACAGCACCACAAAATAAAATCAATAAATAAAAGACTGCTGTGATAATGTTTCAGTTCTTACCAAAGTAGTCAGAGGGTCCTAACCTCCCCACTTCCACAAACTCCTCGTTCTCTGAGCGACGCTGCAACACAGCTGCAGAACCCTGAGAAACAAACACACACACAGAGAGATCAGTTTGGATCAAGCAGCTTTATCTTGTTTATCTCTTAAGTTACAGGAGCACTTGTATTGGCAGAAAAGAAAAAATCATCTCCATAAAAATGCATTTTTAAAAGTAGCTAAATGACTTAATGTGTCTAAGAGTAGCAAACAGGTTTTAAAATAATTGGTAACATAATAAACATGAGTTTAAAGTCAATTCATCACCCATTAAGCATTAAAGGGTCACATAAATTGTTTAATGTCTTAATAGTGAGAAACAGGACTTCATGATACATCCTGCCTTTGTTCATTAAATCATCATGAATTGTCCACACATGTTACACATTACTTAACATCTGTCTTTTCTCCATTTAGGACAGAGTCGACAATTAATTTCAGAGGCCCTGGAGTCATCACATTCAAATTTCAATCAATTTAACAAAACTATCACATAACGACAACACTGAATCAGTGTCAAAGCAAAAGCAAAAATACATACATACTGTATAAAGTAATTTACTGAAATGTTCTCATACATGTAAACTCACAATACTCAGCAGTTCAGCAGGTTAATCCTATTAAGTGAGAATAAATTTAATATTTGTTTTTTATTCATTTTGAATACTTAATAAATCTAATGATTATTTTTGTCTGCTGCATATTTTCCTGATTAATTGGGGTTTTTGTCAATAAAAATGTCATTTAAAAAAAAAATCAATGTAAATTCAGGTGTCATAATTTCCTTCACAAATGATGTTTTCAAATTGTTTTAATTATCTCACCCACAGACAAAAAAGAAGCAAAAAAAAAGTCATATTTGAGATGCTGGAACCTGGGAATGTGAAGATACGTCACATCGTTTGGGACGGGGGCACCATCTTGTAAGGAATGTGCCTGCTATGAAGGTTATACCTTCTTACGTTTTTCCTTGTGTTTGTTGAATCGGCTAATTGGACCAAAAAAAACGGAGTGCCACTTTATCTTTGCAAGTATGACTGTGCTCCCACAGTTTGTCAGCTTGTGAGTTAGCAGATCTTGCACTAAACCACTGTAATATTGTTAATGAGCTTCTAGTGATTTGTAACTTTTAAACTTGTGCAAAGTTTACAGACTCAGTCCAAAAATCAGACAATTAACAATGTGTCCATGTCCGTAAGTGGATAGTGCATCGGGATTTGTAATCTAGTCTTGGGCTGCCAAGTCATATGGTTCTGGTTATTTATTGTGATTGATTCCATTTACACATGGAAGTTGGAATTTCCAAGTTCCCAGGGAAAATTTTCATTTAAAATGCCCACTGAAGGCAGATTTATAACTTGGAAAGTTAGAGGAACCTCACTGACCCCGACCTTGAAATCTAAGATGGCTCTTCTGCGCATCAGCAGTAATGAACGCTAAAGTCACACTGTTCATTAGCACTTCTGTCTTACTTGTGTCTATCTATCTAATTAAAACAGTTGTACACAGAGTACTGTCCTACCTCTATCTGTGGAAATGTTGCTACAGTGTTTGACTGCACCAAATACACTGTAATTCATTGTTATAAACTGGTATCGCTAACAACATCTTTCTTTTCTGACTAGAAGGCGGTCAACTCGGGTGTGCCATCATTCCCAGCTCTTAATTCCAAGGCTAATTATACACAGCATTTGTCCAAATACTTCACCACCATAACAAGCACAGGTAACAGAGCGCAATTATCACAAGAGTGTGAGATTAATGTCACATTCCCTTTGTCACATTGTTGCATTTTATTATTTTGATGATCATAATTGTTGCAGATCAAAAAATAACCTTCAAATTTAATTTCTGTTGGTCGGCCATTTGTTTAAGCTCAAAGATCAAATACATGTTTGGGGGTGAGGCGAGAGTTTCACACCACCACAAGAGGGCGTGCATGTGTGGATAAGAGATTGTAACAGTTTACACATTCACTGGAGTCCAATAGCTGCAAATATGAAACAGCATTAAGTCACGACGAGTGGATCCAACACCTCCTAAAGTGTTTGATGTAACGGGGGCAGCAGTCAATTATAGAACTGATTAAACTTAAGACTTCAAAAGGTAAAATTCTGTTGTTGTGACAAATATAGCGTGTACGAAGGCATCTGTGTGTGTGTGTGTGTGTGTGTGTGTGTGTGTGTGTGTGTGTGAAAGAAAGTTAGTGATCAAGTGTGCACCTCTAAGATGATGAAGAATTCATCTCCAGGCTCTCCCTGCACGACAATCTTCTGTCCGTCCTCAAACTGGACGGGCTCCAAGGCATCAGCGACTGTCAGGCGCTCCCATTTGTCAAGAGACTCTGAGGAGGGGGGAGAGCACAGAAGAAAGGAGTCAGCTGAAATGACAGACAACCCTTAAGAAAAAAAAGTCTTATTTGAGAAGGTTGAACCTGTTTTGTTTTTAGGCGAGATATTTTTATATCCTCTTTCAGGTTATTTTCATCTCAGCAAAAAAAGACACAAGTAATCTCATCTTTCTATTTTTAAGATTCAGGATAAGGCTGATGTGGAAAGTAAACGCACCTAGAATGGACACTTTCCTGAGGAATTCCTCGTACATCTTCCTCTTTCTCAAAGTGCTTCCCTGAAGAGACAATTTTTATGTTAGTGTGACTGTATAAAAATTAAACTCAAGACTTAGAAGAATTACATTTAATTAATTTCATCACAAAACATTTCCTTACCATAAGTATTCTCCTGTAGCTGTCTCTGTCGATGCCCCACAGCTTGACATTGGTCTTGGCTCTAACTGTGGCCGCCCTCGGGGTGCCGTATATCAGGGCCAGCTCTCCGAAGCTGCCTCCCTCCCCGATGCTGGTCACCCATTCATTGTTCACATACACCTGGCAGATTAGCAGGGTAGAAACAAAGGCGTTAAAATGAAATGTGACAAAAACCACCCAACATTTTCTGTACATTATGACGAGGATATGATACTCACATCCATCTCCCCTTGGTCGATAACATAGAAATTGTCACCTTCATCACCTGGGTGCATACAACAATAATGTCAGCATCACACAAAGACATGCTATAGTTTAAATTTGTTTAACTAAGCAGTAAAAAGACATCATCCTACCCTGAAGAATAACTGTCTCCCCAGCGATGTAGGTGACTGGAAACATTGCATCAAATATGTCACTGGAAAAGGAACAAATATGTGAGTTGATCACCTGAACACTCATCAAAACTGTATTTATACAACAATGCGTTTGAGACACACACCTCCTCTCATTGTCATCCAGGTGTGAGAAGAGAACGTTCTTTTCAATAGCTTTGGCCAAGGCTGCCATCGTCTTGTAGTCTTTTGGAATGACCTGAGAAACCAACATGCGACTTTTCTTACTGATACTATCAAGATTGCTGATGCAGATTTTAAGTGCTGCAACAGTCTTGCAGCAGCTGACTCGCGTGCATGTCTAACCTTTCTAACATATGAGGCTGCGTCCTCCTCTGTGTAGACCTCTGCGCTAAAGGCTCCTCTCCGCCGGCGACCCTTTACCACAGGGTTCATGGGTGGAGACACCTCCTCATCGCGGGAGTCTGAACGGGAACTGCTGGCCTTCTGCTGGTTCTGAATCTGCTTGGCCTCCTCCTGGTGGGGAGGGAGGGGATGGAGTCAGCCAACAAGGTTTATAGCCGCTGCATTTCACCCAAAGTCAAGTCATAAGTCAAGGATTATGTATGAAAGCACTTTAGTGTAATAAAGTGCTACATAAAGAGTACTTTGTAACATATACTGACACATTAAACACAACATACAATTAAAGAAAACCAATACATTCAATCAAGTTTTCAAATAAAAGCACAACTTAAACTAAAGTCTGGAGTTCCTCCTTAAATCATCCAGTGTTTTTGCAGTTATTAGACTGCCTGGCAAGTCATTCCAGAGGCTAGAAAAATAAATGAAAACTATTTCCAGCCAAGTTTTTCAGTTCTATGTTTTGGTATAGCTAATAATATGCTCAAAGACAAGTTAAAAATTACTGTCAGGAGGGCATCTGAGAGAAAAAACTGCTAAATAAGAGGATGACAATCTATAAAAGATACTTAAAAGAATGAGAAAATAAATCCTACCTTAAACTTAAAAAGCTAGTTAGCTAGTAGCTATTTATGAGTGCATCATTCTAGCTGTACATAGCACACAGGCAGTACTTTCAGAAACACTTTTGCAAACAATACATTGTCGTGGTAATGTGGAATTTAAATCATTGTATGTGCAATGTGTTTTAATTCAATTAATTGTTTGAATCCAGCAGCTTTGCCTAACTATTTCTTATTAGTATGTTTAGCAAATGTAGCATCCTGTGTTAAGCGCTACTTCAGCAAGCATGATCCCAGTGTAAATGTTTACTTAGGAAGTCCAAAATCTTGTCCAAAGCATGTGTATACTGTATACAAAAATCCTGTGGTGCAGTGTTTTGTTGAGTAAGCATGACGCAGAAACAACTGAAAAGAGAAAACAATAAAACTTGAGCACTTAAGTGGGGTCAGCACGTGTGCTAGAAAGCTTATTATTCATTCATTTTTTTATAACCGCTTATCCTGTTTTGGGTGATGGGGGCTGGAGCCTATCCCAGATGACACAGGGCAAGAGGAGGGGTTCACCCTGGACAGGTCGCCAGACTATCACAGGGCTGACACATGGAGACAAACAACCAGTCACAGCTACGGGCAATTTAGAGTCAACAATTAACCTGCATGTCTTTGGACTGTGGGAGGAAGCTGGTGTACCCGGAGAAAACCCACGCTGACACAGGGAGAACATGTGAACTCAGCACATAAAGGCTTCCCCACTCTTAACGTTACAAACATTTTTTTTGCTATTGCTATGTGTATCTTAGCCAAATTGCTGTTCTTGGACACACTGATGACAAAATAAAAGTTTACAACATAAAGAAGCTTTAACTGATACCATGATTAGCAAACTTATTGATAAAATTACTTAAAATTAGGGATAGGAAACACCAGAGGCTTCACAAGACAATATTACCACCATAATTAAGTCATGATACAATATTTTGCAAATATTTTAAATGTTCTGCGACATGCTGAGTACAGCTATGAAATATACTGTGATGTATTTTGATTTATTACCTTTTTTTCCACTCATCTAAATTCCACTTATCTAATTAAATAAAGTGTTTAGTCTGTTCATCTCACTTCAATTTTACTGCAGCAAAATGCATCTAACTGACTGAAAAATAATTTGTTTTTGTTACTCTAATAGGCCTCCAAAAGGTCAGTTTGTATCTGCAAAATTAAAACTTGATGTATTAAAAAAAAATCCTTGTTGTCCATGTATCATCACAATATTGCCATGCAAAATATTGTGATACTGTGCTGTCTCGATATTTTCCCCCACCCCTAATAAAAATAATTGTACCTAGTAGTACTTCAGGCTAAATTACTGAAAAAATGCTTCATATATGACATTATGATATCTAGTGTGTTATGTGTTTTTCTGGGCTGAGAAATAAAAAGGACATACAGTCTGACAAAGTGTAAATAAACTGAATTTATGATGGCAAATATTAGCTGGCTTAAGAGACAGTACATGCCTGGTGTATGTGTCAGAGTATACAATGCTCAGCTTTCAAACTGATAACCAAAATGTACTGTACACACACAAACCTTCTCAAGCCTCTCGAAGTACTCCCTGAGGAAGGCCATGGGCCTGTCCGGCCTGGAGGTGCACAGCTGGACAATGCAGTCCTTCAGCAGCTGTTGAATGTTGTGTTTCTGCACGTACTGCTCGCACTCCCTCAGGCTCCGCTCCTCCTCACTGCTCGTACTTCCAGATGCCATGACGACAACCGCGACCCTGCTCTGTGACCTCTAACCTTTGTACTGGAGAGAATAGACAGCAATGAGGAACAAGGGCACGATTTTCAGATCACCGCTCGTACAGCGTGGGCTCACTGGATTACCAGAGAGCAACACAGAGTAGGGGTGTCTGTGTGTCATCATGAGAAATGGACAAACAGAAAACGTGAGAACGTGAGAAAAATAGAACCAGAGTGAGAAGGCACTGGGAGATGGGGTGTTGTTTTGGCACCAATGAGCATGAGAGCTTCTCAGTGTCAGGAGTGAGAGCTGGTCATATGATGTGATCACAAATATCTGACCACGAACAACAAACTCAGAAAGACACACTGTATATCCTGCCTGGGTTTATTTACTCAAAACAATGCAACTTTTTCACCAGCCTGAAAGAAGCCCTCTATCTGAGAGGCAGTATCATACACAAGGCCTAATTTTAGACAAATGCTGAAATGAAGGACACTGAATCAATCCACTGTGAAAAAAAAAACCCCATAAAAGCGAGTGCACTTGCTCGGGGTTTGAACATTTCAGACCACAATGCTGCCGCTGAGCAAAATAGCCTGACAGATCCCAGATCATGTGATCGGCCACTGTGATATAAGCTTCTTCAGATAGCTCTGAGCTTGATCTAGCTGTGTAGTCTAAAACAGGAAGGCCTCGTGTAACCAACATGTGCATTTTAGATGCATAAAAATGACAAACAGTCCGATTCCATCCTGTCCCTGCAAGTGTATCATGCAAGTGCATCGGTGTAACAGGATTCAGATAATTTCTAATCTGACAAGGCCCAGGGGAGATTACTAGCCATGTTATCAAAGATGAGGCTGGCAAAGCCTTTATGCAACTAACTACACTCATGGTGGAAACTTGGCAGGCTTGCTTTAATCTAAACCTACCACAGGAATAACTAAGTGACAAATGATACTGTTTTCAGACCAGGTGGGATAAACTAAGAGCTAAGACTAGAAACCCAACAGCAGGGCTCCTCTGCCTAACATTACTATTAAGTGTTATTTAATTTGATATATCTGAGGTAGTGAAAGTGTGTAATTAACATGTTAATCCTCTAATTCAGTTACTGAGCTGCAGCCTCGCATCTTCTGTCTACCAAGAAGCGGGCTGTCAATTAAATTAGAGAAAACACTGCGATGCACAAATGACCTTGCTGAACAAGTGACAACGGGGTATGCAGGAGGATGGATGATGATAACGCATCTAATGGTTTACAAGTTGAGTGAATGTTATCGCCTTTAAAGCCACTGTGAGGCAAATGCCCTGTCTGTAACACCGTCTAGGTCAGCAAGGCTTCATGAGGAGGCTGACGGTTGCAGCCGAGTTACTTACAGCAAGCGGACTAACGCTAAAAAAGCCACCTTCCCTCATTTACAACAACCAGTAAGCACCAAATGTGTTAATAATATGTGTATTATACGTTAGCTTAACTGTCTTCGGCCTACGTAATGTCAGAGAGTGTGTCTACTTGATGCCTAGCTCGCTAGCTCCGTGCAAAGGCAAAGCTCTCCTCCAATGACGCCATCTTGAGTTCTATCATAAACAAACGAGAGACGGAGGAAACAAATTTCACCTATCCAGAGGTCACAAGAGCCGCGAGCAGTAAAACGCAGATACTCACAATAAACTGTAAATTCCTGCCGAGCCCTTCGTTAGCGACTCGGGATGGATGGTATTTCTCAAAGCGTACCGTTACCAGATCCTCCTCGCTTCGATTTTTTTCCTGAGCCCTGGACCGCTGCCCCACCGGATACGGCTGAGAACCAATCAACAGCCGTCACTGACGTCAATTCTCCTCGTTCTGACATGTGAGCCCGTAACCCCTGGCAACCTTAAAGGAGCCCGCTCGGAAACCGTGACGTCAAGGAAATAGCTCAGAAATGCGAAAAAAATCGATTGATATCCGATTAAAAATTAGACTGATAACAGGAATCTCTTAGTGTTGTCTCTGTTTAGAGCTCCTGGTTCACTGCAGCATGCATGGACTTCTTTCGGTTTCAAACATGAGGGTAGCCTATTTAACTATCAAAAGTAAAAGTACTCAAGAGACCAAGAGACTGTTCTTTACTTATCAGAAGGAGGGGGGTGGCTAAGCTGTGACTTCATTTTTTTTGTTAATTTTGACCCTCCCTGAAGCTACAAATATTTTTAACATGAGCCTCTCTGAGTGACTGAGTCATGAAAATGACTGACCCTCCCTCAGCCATAAATTAGTTATTAGATTTTTGATTTAAAAAGCCTCGGTTTTTCATTCTTTTTGTGCATGCCAGTTAGTTTGTGCAAACCATTCATTTTTGGCCAAAGTTTAAATGAGATGTAGACTGAAGTGATTTTGATGAAATATCACCGTTTTAAACTCAGATTTGGTTCCATATTTTTTTTCCTGACTGAAGCCTTCATTGCACATGATGTGTCCAAGGACTGTCGGAAATTTGAAAATCCAAAGATATCTGTTTTTGTAAGTTCTGACTATAATAAATGATTTAATTTTAGCAACTTATGAAGAAAATATGCCTTCTGTGCATGTTTTCCTTAGAAGTCTGGGGTAGAATAAATACAACCATTTAAATGTATATGCCCCTGCCCTAAGCCAAAAATAAAAATCACAAGTCCATTCCCAGTGTTAAAAAAATTATTTGACATGCATCCCCTCTTTTGCACCACCCATCCCTCAGAAGTAATGAACAGTCCCTCAGCAGAAATATTGCCCCAGAAAAGACAGTAAGAATTTGAAAAGTTTAAGCATTGTGCAGCAGAGTTTAGAAGCCAAGAATGGCTTATGAAGATACTTCACCTATTAAATAACAATAATCATACATTAAAAACAAAAAGCAGTAATACAAATAGATAATAGTAATAGAAATTACCAACAACAAAAAATATATTTACAAGATGAGATGCATCACAAATGAATCAGTTAAGTGTTATGAGTCTTCGCAAATTAGAGTCCTATTCAGATGTTTTTTGAATAATGACAATCACATGAATAATCACAAAATTGAATCAAGCACAGTAACCGTTCCACCAGCATATATGGAATATGAGACAGTGGGCCCCAGGGCTCAGACATGCAAAAGTCTGCACCACCTCTCATACATAGGAGCAAAACAAACAGACTTTGTGATTTGTCTTTGTAGTTATTATGCATCTTTTTGTAGTTTTCTTCCTTGGTGGTAATTTTGTGTATCCTTTTGGTACTTTTGCATCTATGCGTAGTTGTTGTGTGTCATTTTGAGGTAATTTTGTGTCCTTTCTGGTTATTTTGTGTCTCTTTGCAGTTCTTGAGCATCTTTTTCTGTCCCTTTGTGTTCATTCTGAGTCTTGGTATGTGTTAATTTGAGTTACATTTTGCAGGTGAAGGCCAGAGGGGACACTTTGGGCCCCTCAGCCAGTAACCGGTAGGCCTGTTCAGTAATCCACAAGGGACCAGTCATGCATGTACATATATAAGTTGTCCCAAGCCTATTTGTTGTGTGTAGCCTAATAAATACATTACATTTTAGGGAATGTTTCAATATTCAGCACCTGTATTTGGGTTTAATCATTGAAGTTATGTAAACACAATAAATAAATAAATGAAAAAAATAAAAGTTAAAACAAACAAATAAATTATACTTTTTATTATAATACATTTTTTAAAAGCCAAATAAGACTAAGTTAGCTTTATTCCGCAGCTGCACAGCTCTCCCTGGGTCGTTGATGTGTCGCTGCACAGTCAGACAAAAAGCTTGATACGTCTTTCATCCAATGAAATCATCAAAACAATTCCTCGTGACAAGACTGAAAGTATAATTGGCCAATCAACCATATTTCCCCTAAATAGGCGGTTCTTAATTGATTGACAGCTCTCATGTCAAATCACTTAGAAGCTCTAAACAGCTCCACCAATAGAACACCAGGAAGGAGGATTTGACACGTTGCCGCCAGCCAATCAGGACGCACCTCACAATGACGCATCCACCCATCAGCTGTTTTTGTTTTGCTGTGTGAATACTGGAAGTTAATAACATAATAACAACAGTGTCTGTCGACTGATTCAAGCGAAACGGCTCGTGAAGGAGGTGAAATCGTTTCTATTTGACCCTGGTCAGATTTTCGGACAGTGCACGCGCTGTGTGATGTGTGCCATCTGAGCCAGCCTGCCCGGACATTCCTCTCACCGAAGAGTGCGAGCGTGGCGCTTGGAGTCGGGGGGCAGAGGAGGGGAAGCGGGTTCCGGCGGGGATCGACCCGAGCCCAAGGCCTCCGACCTCGGCCAGCGAGAGGAGAGGGAATTCGGCGGCTCGGATGGAGTCCCAGGAGTCCCAGGACGTGCCGGACGGCCCCGCCGTGCACCGAGCCTTCATCTGTGCCTCGTTTAACCAGGACACCACGTAAGCGACCTGCGGGCTGGGCCCAGCTTGAACTCAATCTCCTTGATGCACCTGACTGTTGCATAATTATTTACAGTAGTATATGTTTTATTTTTATGCCACTTAATAATAGCGCGAACAATTAGGCAGATGCGTGTGTGTGTGCGTCCAAAATGACACTACTGTATCCCTCATTAAAACTTACAGATAAGTCCCCAGCAGCTGAAAGTGAAGTAGGCCACTGTGTTAATCTTCATGGCTTGTTGCACATTAAACCAAACACTTACTAACCAAACCTTTGGCTGTTGTGTAATAAGACCCAGCTTTACGTAATTAATTGAAAACCGGACTATTATACCATATTACACACTAATAATTAACTGTAAGAGCAAATGTGGTATTTTTCTAAGGTTATAGCAGTATTGTTGAAAGTAGCTTTACAGTCAGTGCCACTTTTTTCCTCTAACATCTGTGCTCTAAGTGTCCACCGTCCCATGCTCAGGGGTTATTACCTATAACAGACACATCCAGCAGAACACAGGTGTGTCACCTTACACAAACATCTGCTTTGGCTCTGATTGTAAAACTAACCAGGTGGCCAAACAGCCAGCTAACTTCAGCCATGATAAGATAAGGCAAGCTTCCCCTAGAGGAAATTAACAGATTTCAAAAGGCAGCTGCGTTATGGCTCTGCTGTCTAAACAAGATAAGATAGTCTGGAAGACATCATGTCATATAGGCTGCCATCCTTGGGTGAGGTAAAGCCTGGATCTGACCCTGTGGCTGCCTCATGTCAGTTATGAACATCCTGTACGTTGGTCTCATGCCACCTGAACAGTGAGACTCAAAATCACAAAAAAGAGACACAAAAAGACCACAAAGAGACGGAAAACAACCACAAAGAGAGGCAAAGTGACCTTAAAGAGACATAAAATGACTACAAAGAGACATAAAATGACTATAAAGAGACACAAAACAACCACAAAGAGATGCTTAACAACCACAAAGAGATGCAAAACAACCACAAAGAGAGGCAAAATGACCTCAAAGAGACATGAAACGCCTACAAAGGGACACAAATAGACCACAAAGAGATGCAAAACAACTACTAAGAAATGCTAAAGAACTGCAAAGAGACACAAAATGACCTTAAAGAGACATAAAACGACTACAGAGAGACACAAAACAACCACAAAGAGAGGCAAAATGACCTCAAAGAGACATACAGCAACTACAAAGAGACACAAAACAACAACAAAAAAAGGGAAAAATACCACAAAGTCTGTGCGTCTTGCTCCTAATTAGGTAGGATAGTTAGGCTTTTTGCATGTCTGTGCCCAGGAGTCCATCGTCTCACAATCTGCTGACGAGTGTTACTAAGGTGTTTTTCCTCTTATAACAATGGTGTCTGTGGCTGTAAGGCTGTTTGTGTTCCTATTGTAGTTCTCTGTCAGTGGGCACCAAGACCGGCTACCGGCTCTTCTCAGTCACTGCTGTGGACAAACTGGACTGCATCCATGAGGGAGGTAAGATGGACGCCGTACTTTACTGTTTGCAGTAGTCTTAAAGAGTTAAAATTACAGGAAGTGTATATCATGTCACATGACAGCTCCCCTGCACAGCCACATCTACAAAACCAGTCATGCATGTACAGAAAGTACACTGTGAACCAGCAGCATCTCCTCCCAGTGGTGACATCACTGCAGTGTGATGGAAGTCCACACAGTATTATTTGAGCTGTGGTCAGGTTCACCTTGGTCGTACAACAGCTCAGACAGGCCGCAACATGTTTGCTCTGCTGCACACAGAGGGTAAACACAGGAGCGCTCAATTTTCTAATCCTCAATACCAACAACGAAAAAGAAAGTTTGGAGGCGGTTTGAGGAAGTTTGAGCTCTCTGTGTCTGGGGACTGACAGTTTCTCTTAAAGGGACAGTTCACACCAACATCAAAAATACATTATTCTTTTCTTTAACCTGTAGTTCTATTTATCAGTCTAGATTGTTTTGGTGTGAGTTGCTGAGTTCTGAGACGTCTGCCTTCTTTCAAATATAATGGAACTCGGTGGCACTCTGCTTGTGGTGCTCCAAGCACCAAAAATAATTTCAAAAACTCAACAGCAATGTCTCTTTCCAGAAGTCATGACCCAATTACTCAAGATAATCCACAAACCTTGTCGTGAGCAGTTTCATGTAGGAGCTATTTTTAGGCTACCGAAGTACACCCATCATATGTATCACCGCACAGCGTGCATCACCTCATGAACAACAGGCTCATGCTCGTGACAGCAATAAATGTAAACATTTATGGCATCTACGTCTGTGGGGCTGTAACATTAGCTAGCTCAGTGGTGCTAGGTGAGCTAGCAGTAGATGCACACTTCCTTCTGCACAGTGAGGTGCAGTAAATTGTGTAGGTCTTGACAAGAAAATATGTAATATTTGCCTTTATTGCACCAGTGATACAAGCTTACATTGCTTTCTGAGTTAAAGTATTGCAATCCAAGGTCTTCCTGTTGCCCCTCTCCCAGTAGAGTGTCCAGACGTGTATATAGTGGAGAGACTGTTCTCCAGCAGCCTGGTGGTGGTGGTCAGTCTGTCCATGCCACGGCGAATGAACGTCTACCATTTCAAGAAAGGCACCGAGATCTGTAACTACAGCTACTCCAACAACATCCTCTCCGTCAGGCTCAACAGACAGGTAAGGACAGGAAGTAGATCTTTCTGTAGCTGTGATGTTTTTGTTACAGCGATCTCTCTTCAACTGTGGCTGTCACTTTGTCACTGTGTCACTGTTACCTCAGCGGCTGGTGGTGTGCCTGGAGGAGTCGATCTACATCCACAATATCAAAGACATGAAGCTACTTAAGACCCTGCTCAACACACCCACCAACCCCACAGGTACGCTCAAGCTGTTATACAGACATCTTGAAATAGACCTTAAATCTTGTGAAGTACTTCACTTTAAAGTCATGTTGTGTAACTTTTGCTACATAGAGGCCACAAGTCACACTTACAGGATGATGATAACAGCTGTTAGGGTTATTTTCATTATCAGTTTTTCTGCCCATTATGCCCCAAAGCCCAGGGAGACTTCTTCAAATGGCATGTTTTAAGAAAAGCAAAGAAATCTTCTTTTAAAAAAAATCAATCAAGCAAACGTTTGTTTTGTTTTTTTATTTAAAAATTTGCTTGAACAGTTATTCGATTATAAAAACAGTTGCCAATTAATTTTTTGTCCATCAACTAATAGAGTAATTGACTAATCATCGTAGTTCTGAATGCTATCACACATAGTACAACCAGAGAGGAGACATAAAGCCAACAAACTGACTCAGTAATGTTGGTTGTAGAACAAGTTTGTAAAACTAACCAGGTGGCCAAACAGTCAGCTAACTTCAGCCATGATAAAATAGATGCCTTTATTAGCCCACAGAAGCTACTGGTCATACCCAAAAAAGAAAGGCTATAGAAGCCAAACCATCGTCTGTAAAGAAATGAGCAAGAGTGCATTTTATCGCTTATAAACTCAGTGTCCATTATAAAGATGAAGAATGTGTTATTTTGTCTTTCAGGACATACATAGCGCTGCTTTAAAGCTACTTGCCTACAGAAACAATTTAGTCTTGCATTATAAGTAGATACTCAAAATGAAATACAATACTTACAATGGATTAGCCTGGAAATCCAGACCCAAATCTAGAAAGATTTAGTGTCTGGCTGCGAGTAATGCAAATGGCCCAACTCAAGGGGCGGCACCAAGCATGCATTTGAAAATATCACTGCAATTGGATAACACTACGACCAATCAGAACAATACACGGGGTGACGTATCCAGAGTGCTACCAGCGGAGCTAACTTGTAGATTAGACTCTTGCCGTATCCGGTCGGCAAAACAGCAAAAACGTCCTTCTTGCAAAGGAAAGATTCAAGCGCTGTCTTCTGTTCCTCTTTTAGAGAAAAAGCCAAGTCTAACTCATTCATTGTAGCAGCCAAAGCTGTTTCAAACAACTGGTATTCATCTGTAGCCATCTTGCAATGTTTACTGACTGATTCCGGACTTCGTCGTTGCAGCGCTGTCGTCATCTCTTTAGCTCGCATCTGGCCCGCCTATATCAGATACACCGATGTGATTGGTGCAGCTCGGCTCCAAGGGCATGGGTAATGAGCATCATTACTGATTACCAGAGTGACTCGCTGAGCAAATTCAAATTGTGCTCTAGAGAGAACTCTGGATTTCCAGGGTAACAATAGATCCAGACAGACAACGCATATGTAGCTCTACAGTAAGGCAACGGGAGATCAGTCCAGTAGGTGTGTTGAAGAAAAAAAAGAGAGGAAACTGCCTATAAACCATCTTCTGTACTCCCTTGTAGGTCTCTGCGCTCTTTCCGTCAACCACAGTAACTCATACCTGGCATACCCGGGCAGTGCCACCATCGGAGAGATCACTGTCTACGATGCCAACAACCTGGTGAGTGGAAATACAAATGTTTTCAGCTTTAACTATTATTATGAAGCAAGTGTTGATTGCTCCAAGTCATGGCTATAGAAGTATGACACCATTTGCAGTTTGATTGGTTCCCTGTAAGCCTCATTTTCACTTCGCAATTCTGTCCGCCACTGGGTAGGATCTCCTGGGAAAGTACAGCCTTAATTTACAGCACAAGGGAAGAGCGTCAACCATTGCGCATCCAAAACTGAAAGAGCTTTTGTCTTTTCCTGGTAGCTATCTATAGCTTTCCCCAGTTACCAAAGAGTATTAGTGTACGGTAAATTCTTTACAGTTATTATCCTCAGTAGTGGAGATAGTAGATGGTGAAACAACAGAAGTAACTGTGGAAACTGTGGTAGCTGCTAGGCTCTAAGGACAACGGTTCCGACAGTGGTGGTGGGGCAACAGAGGGCAAAAATGGAGCTGTTATCATATCTCTTGAAAACCCCATGAGGGCAAGCAGCTCAGTTTTGCTGCCGATGTCATTAGACATATATTTGCCCCCTTTAGAGCACCTTGACGTTGATCCAAGCCCATGACAGCCCCCTGGCGGCCCTCACCTTCAACGCCTCTGGATCCAAACTGGCCAGCGCTTCAGAGAAGGTAAGGATTCCTTTTTTTTTTTTACCCCTCTGTCTGTTTTATTGCCCTCCAACTTCTGTGTGACCACTTCCTCCTCTACAGGGCACCGTCATCAGAGTCTTCAGTGTTCCCGAAGGACAGAGACTGTTTGAATTCCGCCGAGGGATGAAGAGGTAAGCGCTTATATTTTCATGTGGTTTAAAAATAAAAAGCATTAACAAGTAAATTGTGGAGGAGATGATTCATGGTGGAGATTAAACAAAAGGCTTGTGACAGGAAGGTCAGCAGTTTAAATGACACTTCTGTTACTCAGCAGTTAGCTGAGTAAGACAGTGGAAGTGGTTGTGGTTGCACTGTGTCAATGAGTGAGTATCAGTGATTAAGACTACAGCAATTTGAGCAGCTTAATGGTGGAAACATTAGACTGAGTACACTGTAGAGGCACACAAACACATATACACACTCACATGCACATACACTCAGTGATCAGGTTTAATCTAAAAATGGTGTTAAATTTGGCTTACATACAGCCTAGTTATTTAAAAAAATATCAATTATGTGCATATATTTTTTCAATAAACATGTTCATTTAACCATAAGAGTGCTGTCCTCTTCTCTCGTCCGCGTCTGTCAGATATGTTAGCATCAGTTCATTGTCCTTCAGCGCGGATGCCCAGTTCCTGTGTGCCTCCAGCAACACTGAGACGGTCCATATCTTTAAACTGGAGCAGCACAGCCCTAGGTAAAAACACACTAAACTACACATACTTATGTTCATCCAGATCAAAATAAACCCTGTTATTTGCTGACCTTTTTTAAACTCTGGTAAAATGTTGTCCTCTTGAACATTACTTTACAATAATGATAGTGATTTCTGTGTATTAGAGGTCTGCTTCCAGTGCATTGTCCTTCCCTGACCCTTGCATGGTTCAGAAAAGGACAGTGCATGGAATGAGCAGCACCCTCTGCTGTATTTCTGATGTAAAGCATCCAGGAGTGTGCCTGTGAAATTCAACTAAGAGATTTACTATAGATATTGTAGTTTTACAGAAGTCTCCAGCAATGATTAGTTTATTTTATTTACTTTAACTTCCTTGCAGTCAAGACGAAGAGTCTCCCACATGGTCTGCATATGTGGGTAAAATGTTCACAGCAGCCAGCACCTACCTGCCCGCTCAGGTGTCCGACATGATGCATCAGGACAGGGCCTTCGCCACGGTTCGGCTCAACATGTTTGGCCTGAAGAACATCTGCGCCCTGGCTACGTAAGGCAGAGCTAGACAAGAGAGGGGTGTTTTATACAAGAGGTGTATTTATGTGTAGGTTTGTTCATGTCTGTGTGTTTGTTCGTCAGGATTCAGAAGCTCCCTCGTCTGCTGGTGGCGTCCTCAGACGGGTTTCTCTACATTTATAATGTGGATCCACAGGATGGAGGCGAGTGTGTCCTGGTCCAGAAACACAGGTGTGTATGTCTTAGTGTGGTAGTATGGTTACTGGAACGCACAGATTTGTTTTCTGCTTGTTTTATCAGAAAGATTTGGGTGCTGCAATTTTGTTGAGTCTTTGTCTGCTCTGTCTGCACAGGCTGTTTGACTCCAGCGAGGAGCAGGTGGAAGAAAAGGAAGAGGAGAATCAAGAGGATGTTTCTCCCCAACCAGCCAGCCAATCATACGCTGCCACAGTGGCTCTCCCTTCAACCCCGCCCTCCTCTACCACTCTCATGGGTACAGTATTCCTGAACATACACTTAAAAAAACCTCTCCAAGATTCAACACTGGCCTGTCTTACTGGATACTTAAATTACTCCTTAAACCCTACTGTGCACTACATCATCTATATGTGTTATGTTTTAACCACTGCTTCCACTGTTGTTAGGCAAATCCTTAAACTTGCTTTTGTAATAGCAGCTAGTTGTCACTTGAGATTGGATTGTAGATTTAGGGGCTGGAAGTTGACGACAATGTTAAAAAAAATGTCTTCATTCACACTTAATTGAAGATTATTAAAACTGCAAAGCACCTATAAAGTCAGTTTTGCAACTCTAGTCTAAGATTTCAGCTCTGACAGCAGTACACTATGGTACATCCATTCCAAAGCATATGTAGAGAAAAGTCAGCATGTAAGCGGCTACAAAATCCTCTCCTCTTTCCCTCTCTTCCCAGGTTACTCTGAGGATGGTGGAGCCCAGAAGGGTGAGGTCATCCCAGAACACGAGTTCGCTGAGGGCCCTGTCTGCCTGGATGACGAGAACGAGTTCCCTCCAGTCGGCAACCAGAGTAACTGACCAAACCCTCCCTTCCCGTGAAACAACCGTCCCTGCGTAACACTCAGACTGGTTCAAGCAGGGAAGGTGGACAAAAATACTCTTGTGTTGAAACATTGTGGCACCCCCCACCCCCCCTCCCACGTGTACCCCTGCTGGCCTAGGGTCAAATCTTACCAGAATGTTACTTCCTGGTGTTCCTGTATTCTGCGTTCCTCTCACTTTTTGTAAGGAATAAAGATAAAAAAAAAACAGAAAAAAAGAGTGGACGGTCCACTCATCATTTAAAAACATTCACAACACGTTAGACACACTCAAAGACTGTCTGAGAGTCCCACTGTTAAAGATCCCCTCCACTCAAAAATGTGTTTTCGTCTGTTTATGTCCCCTAAAATGTCTGACCTTGACGATACTGACTTGAATCTGTGCAGTTTGTTACTAGAGAGGTATTTTCACATTCCTCTACTGAAGGGGGCGATATCTGTGCACTTCCCTAAAATTCAAACGTACACAAGCCAGCTTAGGTACGTCACTAATACAAAAGCCAATCTCTGACTAATACAGCAAACACATATCGACGAGGGGATGAGACAGCGGCAAAGAAAGAGCGAACTTATTACATGTAAAATAAAATCTCAGCCAGGCGGAATATATCTTAATGCAAACTTTGATGAGACCTCTGATGTATAATTACATAATAACAATGTGAACATACTGTTAACATTGTAACAGATTTTATTGTATGTTTCGCAACCACTAACGCTGTGTCAGCCACTGCCAGTTAGCCTACAAGCTAACAAACAACATGAACCAATAAAAGATGCTAACTACACTTACCATTCTGAGACATCTGCTAGTCGTAGATTTTGGTGCACAACAGACTCCTTGTCTGAGTCTGAATATGACTGAGACTTAAACACGTATGGCTGAATCTCTCTGATGTTTTATTTAACCCTAATGGTAGCCATCTTGATGCTTTTGATGCTCTGTCATTGGTCAATTTAGCACAAGCAGCAATCTTGGACCCCATCAGCTATCGCTTGATGATGGTAAAGTCTCTGCTGTAACTGTTTCATGGGAGAAGTTATACATCTATTTATTTTAACCCAAACGACGATCTCTTTCCCTAACCTTAACCAAGAAATCCGTCCCTGACAAAAAGCCCTAAAGACAAGTGTCTCGCAACAGCTTGTAATGGCCAATATTTCGGGAGATATGGTGTAGCTAGCGGATATCCAGGCCAAGCGTTGCTTACGGTTCAATTAGCAACTTGAGACAGGTCCAGACAACATTTCAGCTAATCTTTGTAAGCAGATATCTGTATATAAATGCAGGTAAAGTAGGAAAAAGCTAGCTGGTGGGATCCAATACAAAAATCTTGTACCATTGCCCACAGATTCTTCATACATATGCAGATATCCAGGGTGCGTTCAGCCCCGAAAACATGTAGTAAAAAGCTTATTTCGATGGAAACGGTGTGTTGAACACCCTGTTGTGTACGATGTGTTATGCAAATACACTGCCTTTTTAATACAGCAGGGTTTATATACATGTCGCTTCTGATTGGGTAACTTCTCAGAAAAAAACGTACCTTAAGGCCTGTGGCACAACATTCAACCTGAAAACCATTGCAAACTGAACGTGCCCCTGTTTTTTCCCTCCTGTTTTTATGTGGAAAAAACATGTTAAACGAAATATTAATCATAATGTAATTTTTTAAACATACTTTAAAACGTGTCTTGAGGGGGGCTTTAACTCTCATAATACGCCATTATCAACAGTGTTAAACGTCTTTTTAAAACCATGAAACTCTGACAACACAATGATGTTATTGTTGCACAATATCATGGTAGCAATCAGATGAACATGTGATTGATCTGGCAGCGTATTGGTGAGCAGACTGGAATATGCCAAGGTAGTAGAGGAGACGAGAAGCGGACCTGGCCTGCAGCTGATGTAGAATAACCAGGGGCCAGATTCACAAAAATGCCCTTGAGATGTCACCTGAAAGGTAATTTTAACAGCTTCTAAACAAGCCAAGCTCAATCAGACAAAAATATAAATTTAATATAAAATTAATCATCTCTTTTAAGATCGAAGAAAATGTATCATAAGGGCATTTCTGTCAGTCAGGCCTCAGGAATCTGGGAGCTAATCAATGGGCATTAAATGTGTCACACCTCAGTAAAGACGAGCAGGAGTTCACTTAAGAAGGAATAGATGTTGTAAGCGCGATACACTATTTAAATCATGATACATGCAGTGAGTATTATATGACTTGCAGATGCAGCTGTCATACTAATTATGGTAGGGATAGACGAGACTAAACACCTGCGGAAGTCACAAATGTAACCTGATAATACATGTGGAGGAGTCGGCTCTGTGGAGGAGGAACAGTAAACAGCTAACTGTGAACAAGCTTTTATGGTGAAGCTGTGTACAACAACGTTACAGGTCATTGAATTTCAGTGATATCCTGAAGACCTTTTTATTTACTACGTGATGCTGAATTCATGTTAACATGCAAGTCATAGTCATTTTTACTTTGATGTATTAATTATTCTTTTGCAAAAAAATGTTTTAAGTATTACACATCAACGCATAGACTTACCGTGCGTAAATATATATTGAGGATTTTTACTGTGTGTATAATGTATATATATATAACATTTATATATAGTACTGTTGTAATAAGTAACATGGTAATACCATTTGATTTGCCAAAAGGTGGCACTGTTAGGACACCCTTACGCTGCATTGAGTTGTTCAGTACTGGACATTTACACCAGAGACTCATTAAAGCTGAGAAGTGATTCAAACTCTGCATATTGTAGTTTTGATTTTAAAGAGCTTAATTTCAGTTGCTTATGTTTGAATCCTGTAATTTAACTTTGGTGTTTTTCAACCTAGATCTTATTGTCCCATGTTTTTGTGTTTAAATGACTAACAGGCTGGGATGGATTATTGAATGTGGGTCAGGGGGCCCTGGACTAGACCCTCTGTCTGAAGTCTATCAAACAACTACAAAGAAATTTGACAATAGGATTTACAAGTGATTGTTTTTGCCACTGACAGTGTAAGATTTCTATGAGTGTCTGACAACAGTATGGACAGGATCCCTACGGAGGTCGACCTTTTTGTTACAGAGTAAGACCTGTTTTGTTTGACCAGAAACAACCCTGAAATCCCTCTTACCAAACCCACCAGACGCCTTTTAAATAAGTAGTAATTTCAGCATGTATAGGCCCACCCTTTTGTTCATTTTTGGGTGAATGAACTTTTCAGGCTACTGGCTAATGGTAAACAAACATGGCACCACACCGGTAAGGTAAGACAACACATTTACATGTCGTTTTCTATATGTTCTCTGACATTTATCCTAACGATATGAGGAGGTCTTTGTGGAAAAAAAGCTTGTTTAGTGGACTAACTTTGCACTTGAAGTATGCCCGTTCACTTAAGTTTTAACAGGTCTGACGCTACTATGCGCCCTGGCTGTATCTAGGCTAACGGCTAACATGCTAACTATTATTTTTATGTCACTAGTCACTTGAAACAAATTTAGGACGATAGGAGATGGGTTGAAATAAACCGAAATTTCCCTTTAAGAGTTAATTTTAATCAAGCCAGAGCTGGTGATTGTTGGAGCAATGGGAAGTGGAACCAATGATTTCAAAATGTGTTGTTTTCTTAAATGACTAAGACAAAAATATGGAAAAATAGGGTTCATGTCTAAAAATACCATAGTTACCCTTTAATTCTCATAAAATATCAAAAAATAATGATAAATCTAAGTTTTAGACATCAGCAAACATTAATTCATGAATTACAGCGATTAACAGATTGTACCTTTGTCTTTTATCAGATCTCATTTTCCCCCTCTGGCCAAAGTTCAGCAGCCTGCATCTCTTTGCTCTCTGCTTGTTTGCACGTCTCCTGCTGCATCTGGACATTGAACCTCCCAAAAACCACATTCTACAAACAAACAGCTGAGCACATCTAAACGAGACATTTGTTTCCACATCTGTTTGCTTCTCTTTCAGTCTATTGTGAGAGTGAGTGTGTGTGTGTGTGTGTGTGTGTGTGTGTGTGCTTTCCCCACTCCTCAGCCCAGCGGGTGGCAGCGGCAAACAGCCTGTGTAGGGTCGCAGCAAGGCGCTGCTGATTCGTCTGTGCTGTAGTCTGCTGAGGACACAGACTTATCGGTGGCAATGTCCCATAATAACTCCTCCCTCTTGCGGGCGAGCCTTTCCGCTACTGCTTGGTACTCAGGTGTCTCCATCTTCAGGGGTGTTTCCTCAGCCTCGTCACGCTCTAGATTAAATATCAGTGGCGGATCGTGGAGCTGCTGCCTTCCTGTTGCACCCCCACATGCCTCTGCTGCACCTGCAGAAGAATTATTTAAGACAGCTGTTGGGTTTGGCAAAAAGAATGTTAAATAAATATGAAATTTGTGTAAGAAAACAGGCATATCAGTAATTATGCAGCATGATTCACTATGAGAACAAAGTTAAGCTCTGGGAATGCAGACAGACCACTGGACTGGCGCCACCATATTGACATAATATCATGCATACCATCCACCATGGTGGTAGGGCATAACAAGCAGCACAACAGACATACATTATTTAACACATCATCACTGTTAGAGAACGACATTTTGTCAGTTTGCTGACAAACAGTTCACATTAGAGTTACAACATTACACCTGTAATACAGCTGATGGATTTTTGCACTGTGGACACATATGACCGGTCTATAACCCGTACCCGTGATGAAGAAAGCTTTGTATTTCCCTGTTCGAACTGCCTGCAGGTCACCAAACTTCCCCGCAGCACCACTGTTAGGGTGGAAGAGAAACTGCAAGGAAGAAGAGAGGAACTGATATCTGCAACAAGACCGTAGTGCACAACCCCTGCTTACAATACAGGGAAAATTATTTTGTAAAACAGGTTCCAGTCCTTTATCATGATTGGCTGAGCTGCATTTAGAGCTGGATCCAGAGCTACTGCCAACTGAAGCCCGAATCATTTATCATCCGCCAGTAGTAATGTACACAATGCTGTCATTCAGTTAATGCACAAACACACAAAGATGCTGCAAAAGAAAAAAGAGAGCCTAGAGGGATTTATGTTTGAGCAGCCAGAGAGCCCACTGTGTCCTGTTGCTTCGTTGGAAGAAATAATGTTAAACGGCAACTGTCGTTGCTGCTGCCCAATCCTCTGGCCTGTTATCTCCATCCAAAACAAACAAACAAACTACAACAGCCCTCCAGGCCAAGTTAACAATGTAACTTTATCTAGCTTGCATGTTTTTATTTGGTTCACTGCTCTCAAGCTATGTTGTCAATTGCTAGCTATATCATATCTGTTACGGTGTAGCTTGGGTATGCGCCCTTCAACAATGTGTGGGGTGGAGAACAGGCCCTCCTGAGTGATTTAGATTGCAACCTCAGAAATACACCTGGGTTCAAAGAAGTCAAAGAGTGGAACTGTTAAAAAAACCCCACTAAACATTATTAATAATAATAATGAAGTCCCAATGTCCTTAAATGGGACGAGAATAATGTCCCAAAATCTTCAAACAAGTACTTCCTAATTAACAGTGTCTTAGCTTGTAACTGATGCTAAAATTGGTCAAATTTCTTGCCATATCAAATTACAAACAAAATTAATCATAGATAAACAAGTTTCAACCATAACACATGATCAGGTTTTGGACCTTGTCCACTTTTGTGTCGGGATCAGCTGCAGACTGACTTGGCAGAGACGGCTGCCATCTTGTTTTTACATAGGTTAGTGTATTCTGCTCTTACTACCACTAGATGGCACAAAAAGTGTCCATGAACAAGGACAACAGCTCTGAGTTAGGCAGAATGAAGTATAAAGTCAAGTAAACCCAAAATGTGTAAACCCATCTTTTCATTTTTTTTTTAACCTTTAACCTTTATACAATTCAACTAAATGTCTAATTTCTTATTCCTATATTCTTATAGCCTACAGATATACAATGATGAATGCTGCTTAACATGTATGTTGATGTTGTCTTATATCAAGTCTCTATTTGATCATGTGAACAGTAACTAGCATGCACTGGGGCTCATCATTATAGTGTGCAGTGGGGCCTGTTGTAACTACCTTACACCACTGCTCAGGGCATTATTAAGCCTCCGCTCCACGCTGTGCCAAACAACGTCCCTTAGCTGTAAACCAAGGCCTCAAAGTGCTTATTGCTTTGATATAAACCACAGAAACATTGAAAACAAAAACAAGTACCTCATGACCGGTTTGTTCGCCACGCAGGAGGACATTTGTGGTGTCAATGCCATCGTAATGTCTGTCTGAGGGGGGAGTTACCCCGGCCAGGGACAGAAGGGTTGGGAAGATGTCCATACCACTGCAAGAGGGCATGAAGACGAGAGGACTGCATCATGTATTCAACCTTTTATTTGAAATTTCGACCTGATGATGAGAAGTCACAGCATCAACAAAGCCATTAGGATTTATGCTCTGAGCAATGCATCCAACACTCACCGATATATTTGAGTAAAAGCCAAAAATACAGTAGTTATTGAGATATTTCAGTCTGAACCAAAATGGAGGACCTACCTGCTAGCATGGTTACAAATGTCTCTGAATGCATCCTCCTGCCTCGTGGTGTAGCACTACGCTTCGGTAAACAGGGTTATACCTGTCACATCTAGTTAATGTAAGTCCTTACATACACATAGGGTGTGTAAAGTAAACACAGGATCTATAATCGGGAGTACCTGAGCAGGGCTGAGCTGCTGGTGTTTGCAGGAATCATCCCAGGCCAATAAACCACAGCTGGCACCCTGTGACCTCCCTCCCAGGTGGTCCGCTTAGCCGAGCCCCCACCTAACACACAGGCCAGAAGTGACATTAGGAATATGATGATTCACAGCAATACAATGTACACTATCAATCACCTCATAAAGCATGCATGAAATGAGATTCAAGTTTCTCAATAAGAGTTTTTTATACCTCTGCTGGTCTGCCACTTCCCCATAAAAGGTCCAACATTTCCTGCGTACTGGCACTTCTGTTCCCAAGGGCCGTTGTCACCTAAACACAACACACACACATAAGACTGTGATCAAGGCTTTTTGAGAATAACAAACTACCCTGGTTGTGTGGAAGAGCAGACATAATCCATCCAGCTGACTAACCGGTGAACCAGATGAGAGTATTGTCTATGTCTGTGTCATCAGAGGTGCTCTTTACCGCCCCCACCAGGCTGTCCATCTCCCGCAGGCTGGAACTGTACACTGTGTCATCATCTGTGCGACTGGCGGCGGCAGAGGCATCTGGGGGGAGCGGAGGGGCCAGAGGAACATGCATGTGAGCCAAGGCGATGTAGAGGAGATAGGGCTGTCCTCGCTCCCTGCAGAGACAATAAATTTGGTGACGCAAACAAATTATTACTGGCAAACGCTTTTTTGAATCAATATCTGTTTACAAGGAGATTTATGTTTAAAGGGACAGTTCACCTCCAAACCAAAACTACAATTTTCTTCCATTACCTGTAGAGCTGCTTATCAGTCTAGATTGTTTTGGTGTGAGTTGCCAGGTGTTGGGAGATATTGGCCGTAAAAATGTCTGCCCTCTGTCGAAAATAATGGAACTAGATGGCACTCGGCTTGTGGTGCTCAAAGCGCCAAAAATATATATATTTGAGAAACTAAACAGCAATGTCTCTTTCCAGAAATCATGACCGAGTCACTCAAGATAATCCACACTTGCGGTTTCATGTAGGAACTATCTTTTGTCTAACAACCTACACTGAACTACACCGTATC